GTGAACATTGAGGATTGTTGCGTTGCCGTCTGTATGCAGCGACCAGGAGCAGTTTTGAAACTGTTTTGCAAGCTGCTGGTCTTGCTGTTCTTTCATGCTGTTCAAAACTCTTGCTGCTCAGTGGCTCAGTGTGCAATGAATTCGGATACAATTGCTGTCAGTGCAAGACAACTTCTCAGTGCATACTAATCCCGTGTCCACTACTCGGGAATTTGAACCCAGCAATGCATCAGCCTGTGATCGTTGTGCAAGTTGCGAAGGTTGTGGCGGACATTTCCATCTCCTGAGCTGTGGCAAGAATTGGATTCAGACTGCCTATATTTTCAATTAATGCCGGGAAGACATGGGAAGACGGATGTCGGATTTGTCTTCGCCCCCTCTACGTAGTATTTTACATATTTTTACATTATTTTACTTTGGAATGGTGTTGTTTAAACTGTTTGGGCTTTTGACTCGTTTTGACTCGTTTTGACTTTATTGCCGTGAGTTCGAAATCATCCCGTGTCGGGGAAAGTGGTTACATGTACCAGCCAGTGGCACGACGCGACGAGCGCCGCACGTATTGGTGAGGGGTTCAAATGTTTGACGGGTGGAAACAACAGTGCCGCTAGAAGTGCCCTGCACGGGGCTCGAGTTTTGAAGAACATCCAGCTTGCTACGCTTGATGCGTTAAAGTAGTCTTGCATAGGCCCTTTCTGCCAAGCCACTCTTGATGCCATGCGATTCACCTGCTTGCTCTTTTGGAATAGGATCATATTTGCCTGTAAAATCCTGTGAGCACTTTGTGCTTTGACTATGCCGTCGAGAGATGTCAGCTGTGCTGTTTATAGTGGGCAGCAGAAGCAACAGGGTAGCTAGCAGGGGTAGCACATAGTTTAGAGATGAAACAGGATGCAGTCATTGCAGAGTGGGGTGAGGGTCATGTTTTGCTGTCAGATGTTTCAGATTGTCTCTTCCACTTTTCGGAAAGCTTTCTTTCTCATCTTTGGTGAGTTGTGACATGGCTACTATCACCTCATCGCTTCCAGCTGAAAGCATCTGAAAGCGATCATATTTCCAAATCCTGGGTCCTGGTCACAACCTCAATCCAACACTGCCAAGACTGACACGACGTGGGTGTCAGTTTCCTACCAACCGTTCTGCAGGAGGAGCTCTGCAATGCTTGCGCTCCTCTAACAGCCTGCAGAAAAGGCTTGAAGCCTGTCGTGCCTAGTGCAGTGTTGCGAATGTCGCGTAGGTTGAAGAAGTCCTTATTTCGTAGGCAACTGCGAAGGTCTCCAATATTAGATGGTGCCTCAGCGCCTCTGTTCTTCATCTTCAGCTTGTTTCGCTCGAGAGTTTGCATTGTGCGCATTGCTAGGATGAGTGGTACCCGTGCCAGTCAGGTGGCTAAGACGATTATAGAACAGCCTAGCAAGGTTCTGAGTCGCAACTGACAGATCTCTAGAAAGTACTACTCTTGCTGAGGAAAAACGAGGCAGGGCTAGAATCCTTGAATATCGTTGAGCCATCTTGAGCTGGTCCGCCTGGATACGATTTTTGCCACCTGCAGCAATTGGCCTGGCTGTAACGCTAGGGTGCTTGGAAAATGCCGCCCTTACATCCAGTTGAAATCTGTGGGAGCCGGGCGTGGAAAAGCATGAGTGGTACCAGTACCAGTCAGTTGGCAAAGAAAATTCTAGAAAATGATGCCTAGCAAGGTTTTGAGTCGCGACTGACAGATTTCTAGAAAGTACTACTCTTGTTAAGGTCGGACGAAGGCAGGGCTAGAATCCTTCAGCATCTTGAGCTGCTGGTCCGTCTGGATACGATTTTTGCCAAAGTTGCGGTCTTGCAGCAATTGGCCGGGCCGTAACGCTAGGGTGCTTGGAAAATGCCGCCCTTACATCCAATTGAATCTATAGATCTGCCAAAGCCGCAGAAACAATAAATCGCTGGAAAGTGATTTCTCCGGCGACTTGAGAGGTTGTGCAAAAGTAGATTAACAATGATTAATCAATGATCAATATTTTGCCATAGGAACTTGGAGTCGAAGACTTCGGGTCTAGGCGCCTACATTGTGAAAGTCTTGGAGCTCTACCGACAGCTCGGTACGGTGACCTTTTCGGACTGTGACATGGCCAACTGGGCCAACTGCATCGCCCTAAAGGCCATTAGGTTCCCCCCCTAACGGGATTCAAGATTTTGCCTTTTTTGTTCATATTCAGGAATTATTCAAAGCACACTTCTCACTTCCATTGATGAATTTGTCGCCCGCCCGCGCACTTCCATCGATGAAGGGCGGTGGAGGGGGTGTTCCAACTTCCGTGAATCGTGAAACCGTGGTAACCGTACGGTTTCAGGCATCAACCTCTTGCCGTCCAAATGATGTAATCTAGGCTATCTAGGAATGTGTCGTCTGCGTTGGTCCAGGTGTATCTTGACAAGGCTCCGACCAAGAAGTTGGGGTTGAGACCTAAAACAATCATGAGAATGAGAAAGCGCACTGTTTGTAATGGACTTTAGGTGTTTGGGTCTTGCATGAGTCAAATGCACTGGCCCTGAAAAGTGCAAACGGGTGATTGCGGAAGCCTCGCGTGAGGTACAGCGAAAGAGGAGTTGGATTATGAAGTTTTCCGATAGTCTTGTGAATCCGCTCATGTGAATTCTTGCCCGCAAAGAGCGTACCATTTGCAAATGTGCAGCGAAATTGCCAGATTCAAAATAGGAATAAAAGGACAATGAAAGTAAATCACCACATTTGAGATGTTCAAAAACTGTTCTTTGATAAGATAAATTCCGTGCCGACGATCGGGGATGTTTTGTGAAAGGTTCGTGATTGATGTTTTCAGTTCGGAAAATACAACAACTGCAGTAACTATGCGCACAGATTCCGATATTATCAGTGGCTGGCCTAGCTCGACGTTGGCTCGACATTGGAATGTCGTTGGTCAAGGAATGCCGCGCATGCGCCACTTGCACGACCTGTCGTACCTGTCGCACAAAGTGATCCGACATCCGACGCTTCCAACACTTTGTCGCGAACCGACATCGCAGCGTCGCATGGGACACCCAGAGGGGACTCGGGATCCTCGGCTCAGCGAACCTTGTGCATCTTGTGCAATTTGTTTTGCCCAGCTGAGAGTTTAAGGCGAAGTGTCGAGTGTATGTCTGATCTGTGTGATATGTGTGATGCAGGTTGGTGAGAGTCCCCGACTCTGCAATCTATCGATTTGGGAGTTCTCGTCTGAGGAATTGGTCCCATGATGTCTCTATGCCATTCTTTCCCTATACATCCCTATACGTTATACAGTGATGTTCGTGTGGAGTGAAACATATGTATTCGGCGAGTATTCAAATGTAATGCGTAGCAAGGTGCAGTGTCTTGGCCAGATTAGGATGCACGAAACCCTTTGAAATTTCGGCGCATTTTGTTCTTTGGCCGAGGGCTCCGCCCAGCGACCAGCACGAGCGGATTTGGGCTGACCAGGTGTGTTGGTGCGTTCTAATTTTCAGGACAGCGAGGTTTTGCCACCGTCGCTTCCGAAATCATAGTCTTGGTTCGGGTTCAATGGTTCAATGTGTTCAATGCTGATATCATAGAGACCCCTCAGTGTGACACAGGCCTCATTCAGCAATATGCAGCAATGACCTCTGTTCAATGTTCCAAAGTCTGAGCCAAAGAAGATCAGTCCACAGATCTCCAACCAGTCTCTTCATACAGTGTATACAGTGTTCTTCGACGTTGTCACTGCGAAATGTAGTGCCGATCCTGGATCGAAGCTGATGCGAAGTGGATTGAGCTCACCGAGCAGAAACACCTCATCCTTAGGGAAATTGCGATTGATTTTGAATCTTTTGAAATGGAAACCAATCAGATGGCTATTCATGCGCGTCTCTGCCTGTACCAGGATGCGAAGACTCAAAAAGGCGTCGACTGCTTGAGAGCGGAGTCTAAGGATGTCTAAGGGACGTGGCCAGCAGCCGAACATCATGCGGACATCAGCCCAAGCTTCCTACTGATTCCTACTGAGGTTTCATTGTCCCTGGTTGGCGTTCTATACTATCCAGCGCAAAGCCTAGTGCACACATGCTTGACAGAGAGAAGAGAAGTTACAAAATAAATCATTGTACAGGAACGGACACTATGTCAAGCCCAGATAATTCACACTCGTTCGATTTGATGTTGTTGGTGCTTTCAGGAGATATACCGGATGGGTTTGATGTTGTTATGGCCCATATGGCTTTCAAAGGTGTACCGGTATAGCGGACTTGAGGCCACCAACCAGAATTTGTTTCTTCTTTCAAGTTTGCTGATAGATACCCAGATATGCAGTTGCTTATAGCTTGCAACTGCGTTGTATAATGAATCAATATGAATCATTTATTCATTATTGTATATATGTATATATCATATACGCTAGACCTGCCATCACCAGTCACAGCAAAACATGGAGCTGACACTTTCAGCGGGCTTCGCGCTCCAGGATGCCAATGCCAGACGTTACTGTTTGACCCCTCTGAAAAATTAGATCTTGTACCACGCAAGCTTGCTGCTTCCTTCTCTTGTTTCCTATTCCCTCACCTGCTACCCTTTTTTCGTTCTTTTCCTCTTGCCCCTTCTCTCCATGGGTTCTTCGACACTTGCTGAGTGTAATCTCTTCTCTGATGCACTCCCCCTTGCCGTCGGCTGTCGGCGGATAGTGGCTTTGATACTTGGAACTTGTCGCTGGAGTTATTTCGCCCAGGCAAGTGATCTGCAGGGCTCTTCAAACCAGGCCAAGCATGAGGCCCAACTACCAGTATCATCAATATCATCACCATGATCAACGTTAATATGGCAAGTGACCTAACAAGTTGTGGTGCAGATTGAGTGGATTAGGCGGCAACTCTGAGGGTCGTTTTGAACCATTGCCTTGCATCGTTTTGCATCGATTTGCTGTGCCAATGTGCACGTTTCGCGGCCACTTGGTTCAGGAGAAGAGTAGGTACCGAATAGAAAAAAAACGCCTTTCGGTGCCATGGCGCCATATGACGCAAGTGAGGAAGTGGCGCCGCCCTTCCAGACTTTGTATTTCTCCGATGACACTTGGCAGGAGGCAAGGCTTTTCACAGCTTGTCCACGTCACTGCCGCGTTTAGGTGCGACCAACATTTTTTTGTACATGAAGTTCAATCATTTTCACATCCAGACATGCGACGGCACAATCCCAACGTGCCATTTTTGGATGTTGCGGTCAGCTCTCAGATTGCCTCTAAGGAGTTCATGAGCAAGTTCCAGCCATTGGCTTCGGCCAATCGAAGGTTGAAGGAGGATAAGAATGACAAGGAGGCACAGAAAATGTACGATGAGTACTTTCCTATGTACAAGAACTATGCAGCTTGATGGCACTAGTCCTTGGCACACATGGCAGAGCATGCCATGCATCACACGTGATATCAAAATATATCAAATAGTACAGTGATATCAATCGGGTTTATTTTCCAAGTTCGATGTGAATGCGCGGTTCTCACTGTGGTAGCTGGAAAGGATTGGTGCAGCACATGGGATGGTAACAAGTACGACCTCGTTTTCTACGGCGTATCGGGCTACACCGGCTACTTGATGATGGAGCGCTCATGATTTGGAAGTTTTTTGCATGTCACGGCACTATTTAGATCCCTGACACGTCAGAGTTCCACCATACATTTGTCATCATTTGTCGTATTTTGTCGTTTTACCAATCCATGTAGCTTTCTGCATGTTGTGACTGCATGTGACTGCATGTGATCGCGTGGAATGTGAAGGAGTACTTGAAGCGCGTGTCCCTCAAGCGAAACCCTGAGCCCTTCACTTTTGCCTTCGCTGGTCGAACACCTTCGCGAGTAGCTGACTTGCGTGACAGGGAGTTCGCGGGCACACAGCAGCTTGGCTCATGAGGAACATGACGTCTCTGAGGTGAGAAGTTTACATAACTTTACCGGGTTTTCATGGGATGAATGTGACATTAAATCAAATAGCATGATGGGTTTGATCAGCATGACAGCTGACTTGCCTGAGTCTGTGATGGAGAGAGATATGGGTACCCTTGATTAATATGCATATATACATAGTATATTAATATAATACAATAGATATCAATAGATTATAGTTATAGGTTATTAGAAAAACTTGTAGCCACCTCTAGTTCCGGTTGGAAGACAGGCAAGCCCTCACTGAGTCAGCATTCCTTCACAGACGTGTTTACAGAGCTATTGGCTCCAGATGGCTCCAGGTGGGAGAACACTCCGGTGCTGCAGATGTCCTACGATGATCCATACTCTGTGATCGACTTGGCACTTTCCTTAGCCGTGCTCAGTTCAAGTGCTCAGTTCAAGCAGTTGGTTGATCCGAAAAAAAACGGAAGGACTATGACATTAATATGACATTGGGACTTCTGTGTCCTGCGGGCCAAGGAGAGAGCAGCTTTCATGATTTCCATGCACTGTGTTTGGCCGAGGTTAAAAGTGCCAGATGTGTCATCAATGTTGCCGGGCCCTACATGCTCACACAGGGTGAGCTGATGTGACTTGTCAATATCTGATTCATACAGGTCTGTCAGTCTGTCAAAGTTTTTTCAGAGCTCAGGGTTGTTGAGTTCCACAGGCTGCAGTGCTCTTCAGCAGGGCTGAAGCAGGCTGAAGCAGGGCTTCCATGGGCTTCCCGCATCTGAGGATTGACTGCTGCATTTCCATGGGTGTTCACTATTGTGACATCAGCGGAGAGATTCCTTGGTCGCGTCGTATCACTCCACTGAACACGTATGCGCAGAGGAACAAGGCCGGCAAGAGTGGGCTGAAACATGTTGAAACGTCATCAAGTATGGTATGCTTAATCATATGGCTCAATAAATTTTGACAACTTGGTATTGCATGGTATTGCTTACTATTCTCAAGACTTTGAGGACATATTATGAGGATAAGGAACGGCGATCCGTGCAGCTGCCCTGCAGCATCCTGCACCGGAGATGACTCTTGTTCCATTGACAGGCCTTCATCATTCCCAGCGCAGCTTCTGCTGGTGGCTTCCCAGACCTTTGCACCTTCCTGTGTGCGAAGAAGGCACATGAAGATTACGGGGAGGACTTGCGCAAAGCCATTTGCTACGTCAACGGTGGCGGTGCGATCGCGACACCTGGCGGCTAGTAGGCTTTCTGTATCGCTGTGAACTTTGGGTGAAGCTGGCAATTTCATTTACAACGTATTATATTTGAAACGGAAGCCACAAGATTTCGTTGGGATTTATGGCATGTTTCATCATGTTTCATCATGTTTCATCATGTTTCATCATGTTTAATCATGTTTCATCACTTCCTCAGCTTTCATTTCACAATATTTCACACATTTTGGCACTTCATCTCAGCAAGGACGGCTTCTGGAGGAACGCTGAAGACCCGAGCCACGATGGCAGCAGGAGGCGATGAGACGCGAAAGATGATGGGAGATCCATACGCCCTGGGAGGCTTTGTGCCGGACCGAGATCGCCATGGCATCAAGTACTGCAACATCGAGTTCGGTACCGGCAAGGTCACAACCAAGGCAACTCGACCAGCTCTGGAAGTGTGTACAGTGTCTGTACAGTGTCTACAGTGTGTACGGTGTGTATGGTGTGTGTACAGTGTGTACGACACAAGTTGGATAAGACCAGTGGACGAGTGAGACTGGACTGAAGTTTGTTACGGTTCCGCCGGTTCCGCCTCTTGCTGTGAAATGCATCTGAGGTGCGGGCAGAGGATTTGGATGCGAACATGTCCAAGATCTCTGAGGACAAGCACCTAGGCATTTGGCGTGGCCCCAACGTCTACTCCTACTTCGATACGCGCATTGTGAGGCCGAAAATATCCGAAAATGATCGAAAATGATTGGCCACAAGACATTGAGTCAGAAGTGCTAGAAATGAGGTGTTCTTTGAAGCATCTCAAGGATGATCTACGATGACTGATTAGCGTTGCTTGAATGTTGCCAATCTGTCACACCTGCTAAAACCACAGCAATTACTTGTCAGATTTTCTCACCATTGACATGTGAGAATCGTGAGTCCATTAGATTGGACTTCTCCAGGCGGTCGAATATGCTTTTAGCTGACATGGGCGGGAGCCCTTATGGCAAAAGCCTGAATTTCCTTCAGTTCTCCGTGCTGCCAACAGCCACTTGGTGAAGAGTTCGTTCATTTTCGTACGTGGCGTGCGGTGATGTACTGTCTATTGGTATAGTTATTGAACCTATGAATCTATGAATCTTGTAGCGACATGTGATGTCTGTGACGTGTATGAAACAAAATGTCCACAGTGATGGGGAATCGAGCTTGCGATGAATGAATGAATTAATGAATGAATGAATGAATGAAATGGAATGGAATGGAATGGAATGGAATGGAGTTGAATGAATGAATGAATGAAATAAATTGAATGAAATGAATGAATGAATGAATGAAGGAAGGAAGGAAGGAAGGAAGAAAGGAAGGAATGAATGAATGAACGAACGAATGAATGAATGAATGAGAGACAGAGGCAGAGGGAGATGTGAGTGGCAGAACATTTTCATCACAAGATCATCCGCTAGTGTACACGTTCCAGAATACTGTATTTATACATAATTACCATATATTCCAAGAATTTCCGAGATATTACGATAATGACATGTTGTTGACTATCATTGACTATCACATGAGGAGATGCTTCTGCAGCAGAAGGGTGGAGGTGGAGGAGCCGGTGGAGGCATTGGTGCCGGTGCTGGTGGAGGTGGAGGCGGTGGCAGCGTCGAGGCTGAGAGGAAAGCACTGGAGGTGCGGAGCCGCCGTTGGGACACCGCACCGGGACAACATGAAACGGTTGAAACGAGACACGGCACAGCATGGAACAAGGTGTTGGGATAACATATGGGCAACATATGTTCTATGTGTATCTATGTGTATCTATTTGTAGATATTTTAAAGATACATGTGATACGTCTTTATGCTGGGATATGCAGGGAATGATCCCAGAGGCCTTCGTGTGGAAATCTAAATTTGCGCAGAAAAATAGTGCCTGCTGCAGTTAGAATATCTAATATATATAGATTCATATGGATTCCATATAGATTCCGTACGATTCTATGATTCCACATCACTTGCCAGGCCAAGGGTGTGTACTACAAGGCAGGCGACGGTCCCCCGCTTGAAGAGCTGGATGATGCCTGGTCGGCCTGGTTCCTCTGGTCGCAGACTGCAACTCGGTAGCACTGGCAGCACTGGCAGCACTGGCAGCTTCGGTTTCCATCGCTGAAGCCATCTGAAGCCATCTGCCAAGGAAAAGGGCCATGAGATCAAGTGCGATTTCATCGGAAGAGATGGCTACTTCGAGACTGCACGCATTGCAGTGGAAACAGCCGCTACACTGCACAGGAATTTGGCAGCTGATCAGCTGAATCAGGTGTGTCATGAAGCAGCAATCGCGCAAGATAGACGTTTTGCAGTCCAGAAGTCCAGAACATGCCCCAAAGAAAAGGTTCAGGAAATAGAAGATGTTCTGACAAACCTTGATTACTTTAATCTATTTTTCCCTCTCCAGGCTCCTTTCTTTTTCATTATTTTCATTTTTCCACCACCCATTCCCCAAGCCATGCATGACCCATGGGTTGTTCCATGGCATCCAAGGCGATGACCCTGGTTTTCGACCAGCCGAATCTGCCTTTCCCCGGTGGTGTGCTCACACCTGCCGTGGCCTGCGGCGAGGCTTTGGCAAGGCGTTTGATCCACAGTGGTGTGAAGTTCTCAATGGGCGAATGGTACCTTGGCAGCCAGCATTCTGAGTCCTTGGCCCTGCCAAAAGTTCTAGCGTTGACCTCAGTAGATTCATTATCTCATTTGTCAAAATAGTCTAGACTCTGAAGAACAGTAGAACAGTAGAACCATGAAACTAGTCGAGCTATCCATAACTATCCATAAAAGGCTAATAAAGGTTTCACTGCAGATTACTATGGGCGGAGCTCCACCGCAGATCCCGCCCATCAGGCACGGCGTGGAGGAGCTCTTTGGCTGCACCGATATAAAATGAAGGTATATGGTATACGCATGTATATCTATATGTATAATATAATATAATATGATGTTAAATTTAATGCTATATAAGTTATATATGTCACCCTTTGGCAGTAGATCTTTCAAGTTTCATACAAGAATGATAAGAATGTTGATGGTTTCTTGCTGGATAGGCTGGCCATGACTCATTGCATTTCCAGCGGTTGCAGAGACAGCAGCACGTGTCTACTGTTTGCTCACTTAGTTTTGACCCTGGACCCATTCGGGATCATTGACTTGCCATAGTGCGATTTTCCGAAAACCAATTCCGAGGTTCAACCCTCCTCCAAATCCCTGAGAAGATTTGCGGCGAACATGAACATTGGAACAGTGGATTAGGACATGCAAGGGCAGAGCCATGAGCCATGCAGAGCCCTCTTCCGAGAAAGGAGAAAAAAGTGCTGTGCTGGCAGTGCCTTTCCAACATGGGCATCTCATTGCGCCCCAAACCAAACAATCCAAACGGGTGCTTGAATGAGCCCATAATACCCAACAGGCCACAAAGTGATTGCACAGAGACCCGGCGATGTGATGCAGCAGTCAATGCCTTGGCAGGTGTTGGACGGTTCCACAAGGACAACAATGCCTGTTTAAGATGGAGCTGCAGCGTGAAAACCTGAGTGAAGTCAACCGCCAAGCTGAAAGTGGGACGACGTCAACAATGATGAACATTTCTTGTACTTCGTAATTTGCTCCCTGGACTTGCTTTTTCTGGAGGCTGAAAACACACAAATATAAGAGCCAGGTGGGAGTTTGAATCACTGACAATGTGATGCCGAGTCTTGTGGAACCCTTCCATTGTGCATTCCACCAGATACTTGCAGCATCAGCATTAGCCGCTATTAGCCATTTGGCCCAACAGCCCCAAGGTGCCCAAGGTGCCCAAGGTGCCCAAGGTGCCTCAGAATGCCTCAGACCTCGGCCCACATGGATCCAATGGATCCATGGCTTCCACTGGATCCGTGGCAAACTTCGTCGCTTGAACGGCGAGTTGTTGGAGTTCAGTCGCACCTACCAAGAGGCCAAGCTGGTGACGAACAAAGACTTGAAGCAATACCTTGCCAGAAATGACCTCAGTAGCTGGGTTTTGTATCAAGAATTCCGGAGGTTCTTTCGATCCCAAAAATTTATCTAGATGATGTGGTTCTTTTGAGATCCACGTATCCAAAGGGTGTATTTGGGGCAGAATGAGCCAGATTGAGCAACGTATTCATGTTGTTCAACATATTGATGTTCTTGAATTCTTGAATATGATTTCCCTTGGCGCATTTGCCGTGGTGACGCATGTAGTGATGCCCGCAGCAATTATTTAGCTCTCCAAGTGCCACAGCTGCCTTATCTGGTTGGATCCAGCTGAGTCGATGATGGGGACCACGTCGATTGGGAGATGGAGCGAGGCTTGCGGTTTGCGGAATGTGGAAACAGATGCGCAACCAAAACATCAAAACCACAGAATTGTTCATGACTCATGACCCACAAGCATTGCTGATATTGCGATTCAATATCCCAACATGTCAAACGTATTCGCATGTCTAGAATGACCCACTGTACCCCTTGTTTTCGGTCCATGTATGTCCATGTGCAAAACGTGTGTTTGTGTGTTGCACACTGGGAGTGTGAGAACAGGAGCGCTTAGAAAATTCTAGATATAACATGATATAAAATGTATAAAGCTTTGACTGCGGAGATTGCTGGTACGTTTTGGGGCTAGCAGGTCCCATGTCAATCCTATGTCATACAAATATCAAAGAAATGCCTCCTGCAGCTGCCAAGACCATGTGACCATAGGATCAGTTCAGTATGTGGTTGCCGATGTGATGACATTCACTCCCGACAAAGTGCCCTGTGGCGACAACATGGACGACTTGGTCATGTACTACCAAGATCTTCATCAATTGCTGGACCCGGAACTCCTCATCACTTCCACCTACCAGATTTGGAAACAGAGAGGCCACGTCTTTTGCGAGAGTGTTTTCCTTGCCTGGAACTTGGCCATCCGAAGCCTCTCGCACCAGGTCTATGCCAGGCCTTTCAGAAAAACGATCCTTCACAGTTGCTTAGCCCTTCTTGATCTTCTTGCAGCTCTCGACGAAGAATTTATCCGGGAGGATCATCACTGCGACTCATTCTTTCCCTTTGGCGGTCTTCGTTTTGGACTTGGAGTAGATTTGGTGATGGCGCTGATTGACAAAGGATGACAAAGGCCTTCCAAGATGGTGTTGGGCTGGTTAATTCTGCCATTTCGACAGCCTTCTCCAGTACATACTCGAACCGATGCCACTCCCATTGGACACGAAGGGGGATGCTGAAGGAAGGCTTTGCACCTGTCTGAAAGATTCACCCTAAGGGAGTTGTGCCACCGAAACAAGGAAGGCAGAATTGCACTTTCCCCTGCTGATCAATATACGCCGTTGAGTGTGCCAAGAGACATCAAGATGGCCCATGGATAGAGGTACCTGTTGTGATCAGGTGCAATTTCGGGGGAGCTTGCTTGAGTTGACTGAACTCGCTCGCTGCGCGCGAGCAGGATTGGGTGGCAACTTAGCTCAGACCTCTTTGATCCTTTTTGATCCCTTTTTGATCCTTTTGTCCGTGCCGAAACTCCTCAATTCCAATGAGAACCTACTGTAAGCCCTAGAAATCGTTTCCTTTGAAGTTTCATGCCTCATATAAATTAGTTGACAGGTGCTGACGTGCGGTTTAGAAGGATACCCTCTATAGACTCATATAACCTATATACTACAACTGAAGGTCAGTGTAGCATGGCACCGTATTAGGCTTCCGGATGACACCTCAGAGGTCTCATGTAATGTCAACCCTGGATTAATAAATCTCTAGGCTGTTTAATTGGGAGGGTGCCAATAAGTATCAGATTATGACATGGTTTATTCGTCCGGGGTTGACATGATTCACAATGCAAGTTTGCTCTCCTTGATGTTTGTATCATCAGGCGAGATTGGTTCACTTGAATCACTTCCAGCTTTTGATGAGCGAGCTGCTGATATTCGTCAGGAGTGGTCGAGGCCAAGGGTAGGGGCAAATATCACTCGGTACCAAAATTATTTGCTGAAAGGCTTGGCCTCTTTTAGTCCTTTGATACAGACACGTGGTTTAGGGCAACTGACCATTTATATCCATTTGTCATTTGTGACATTTTGTGACATCCTGTGACCCGTGCAGTGCCTGTGTTGTGCGGAGGATGGGCTGGATGTTTACTCAAGACTCCATGAACGGACAAGTTTCTGAGGTTATGAATTGGCATTTCGAGACAGTTGGGCGGGGCATCCAAGAAGTTGGGTAGCCACAAAGTGGCTGCCTTTCCAGACGAATGGCCATTTTTGTTCCGCAGATTTTGCGGTTGAATTCGATTTTTCGCTCTCCTCATGCTTAGTATTCAAACTGGGCCTCGACAGCGGAAGTCACGCTGCAACAACATTTGGATCCTGATGTACTCGTATGAAATTCTTATGATTTCATAATTACGGCGGCTAATTATAATATGTGAACGCATTCCTGGCCTTTGTGTGCGTCGACTTCATGCGTTCTGAGGCCAGGACTTGCCATTCATGGCCTGGAATAGCCGGAACAAAAGACCGGCCTGTAGAGCGCCGCCTGAAAACATTCAGTCTCAAAGAGTGGGCTTGGCGTTTGCAGCTTGCAGCCCTCCAAAAATGGACTGCCCTGTCAGCACACACTGGTTTTGGCGCCCGGATTTTCATTGGAAACGAACATCTACTGTATGTGATTGTATGTGCACATGCGTATGGTGTGCTGCATTTTCGTGTGCATTTTCAATACAGGATCATGCAGGCTATGACGAACTGTACCCTGTCATATCCTGTCATGTATCCGATGCATGCAGAAATCCAAATTCATTGTGCAGCTCTGTGAAACATCCGAATTGTTTGGCTTTCGCAAGGCAGACTTTGCAGATGATCATCGATGCCAAAGGCCTGATCGGGACATCAACGGTTTTTGCCCACACTGCCTAGGTTGAGTGAGGAGCGTTTGCAAAGGAACAGGTTTTTAACATATTTGAAATCTGACATCTGGTGTCGACAAGTGGTGCAACTGAATCAGCATCATGTGCTGTAGCTTTTTTTGGCTTGGCTTCCTCTACACCTGCGCGCAATTGTTCGCAACATGGCCGTGCTGTCTAAGCCAGCCCAGCCGGCAAAACCCACCGGTCTCAAGGTAACTGTCAGGGCAGACAAGAGCCTAGAAGTTCGCTGGGAAGCAGATGGTGAAATTGTCATGTTTGTGCTGGACCAGCGCTTCTACCAAATGGGAACCTTTGGTTGGGGCAAACCCGATCATTCCTTTGTCCATGAAGTGAACCGTGAAGAGAATGGCTGTGCGAAACTTGTGCCGTTTCCGGCCACTGTTCCCAAAACGCAGCCTTGGGTTATGACCCTGACGCTGAAGGCCAAGTCTCAAGATGGTGTGCTCAGTGATCCCGCGGAAATTCAGCTTGCTTGGGATGATGAACAAACCGAGGGGGCGACCAGCAAGGACCTTTATCAACGAAGCATCAACTTTGAGAGGAATCAAGTTGCACCCTTTTTGCAAGCCAAACGAAAACTCAAGATCCTTCTTATCGGAGGCCAGCATCATGGCAAATCATCCTTAGGCAATCACCTTGATCGCTGCTTCCACAGTGACTTGAAACGTTTTGATCAGTTGGACCAAGCCCCAGCCGGTACTGATGAGAGGACAATGGGAACAAAGAGTCTCAAACTTCCAGTTGGCTCCAACGAAATCACATTCATCGACACCCCGGCTTTTTCCGCAATGGATGAGGAGACCATGAAGAGGCTGCACACGCTTCTGTCAATTCACACCCCAGAGGGCACACGGCGGCAGAATTTGACAGACAATTTGGAACAAGACACTTGGGGCTTCTCTGGAAAGCCTCCGCATGCGGCCATTGTGGTCGTGTCACTTCTTCACTGGCGGGATCAACAGGATGAGATGCAAAAGTACTTACGCAAGACGGCAGACGTTTTCAAGAATGCATCGTGGAAGACCGTCGAGTTCCCCTATGTGGTGGCTGCTACGCACCGGGATGAGTTCTTGAAGGATGTCCAGAAAGAAGATCCAATGAGTGCTTTGCAAAAGGCTGTGGCTGGAATCAAGAAATTCGCCTTGACAGATCACGTCTATGCGATCACCAACTACAAGCGAGGCAGCCTGGCCAGCGCAGCCGTCAACGAAGAGACGTTTGATTTGCTGGCGCAGCTGGTCACTAAAGCTGCGAAACAAGAGACATCATCAGCAACATGTTTCGTTTGTTTCGAGGGGCTCCTGCGCGTCTTGTGAGGTGAGCGATAGCATTTAAGATGGGGCCGCTGTTTCTTCCATGGCTGCTAGGCACAAGTCCCAGCAGCTGGCTGCCCGAATTTTGTCATTCTGGCAACCCTGGACTTCCTGGACGATTCAACAGCTGGTTGACCTTGTTCTTTATCCGTTCAGCAGTTTCAACTCCCAGGAATTAGGAACACCATGAACAGAACTGCGCTTGATTATTTCATAGGATGCAGGAAAGAAGTGTCTTGCGGAAATCTAGGGCTAGGCTCAGTACCATCGCTCTGAACGCAACATCGTTGAGCAAAAAAAAGAGAAGGGAATGCCGCTACCGAGCGTGTCATGGATCATATGCTTCATTCAGAGTTGATGATTCCAATTGTTTCAGATTTTTGGCTCGCTGCAGTTGGGCTGGAACAGTTGCCAGTTGCCAGAGATCCATGGAGTTAGTCCGTTGGGAGCCCAACAGCTGTGGATCATTGTGGATCAACATGGCTTGTCCGAGCTTGTCTGTTGTCCAGATGGTGGTCCTAGGAGTATTTGTGTATTTGTTGGTCTTGATGTGTCAGCAGCAGAATTTTCGATGTTTTGCAGAAGTGAAGGAGGTTGGCAACATTTCCAACAGGATCATAATATGAGGATAGCTTCAAGATGCTTCAAGCATTGGCTGGCTGTTTCCAGAAGTGAGGCTGACTGTGTAGGAACCTAGTCGTGGGTGACTTTGATTCAGAGTCGTGATCTCCAGCTGCCCATGTTATTAGGTGAGGTTTTGACGACTAAGGCACCTCCTGGACGATGACTCTCCCCCAGCCCCGTAGGCGAGGGATTGGGCTCATTGCTAGTCTCGCCAATGACCTGTACGGCCTGTATGGGTTGAGGTAGGATGTGTTGGCTGCAGGAATTGACAGCTACTATTGCTTGGTTGCTTGGTGCTGGACACGGTGCGTTTTGTCAACTTTAGGAGGTCACGCAGTAGATGCTGCGAAACACCAAAGCTCGCTCTAGAACCTTTGGACGCATAATATAGCCGGCTTAAGATGTTTCCTCCTTCGGCAACTGAGAAGGTTTAAGCAACTTTTTACTACCGAAATGGAATCTAGGCTGTGAGGATCCCTGTGGCCGGTTCAAGCAGCGATTTTGAATAGAAAGACTCAGACTGGGCACTTGGCCTTGGCCCCTGTCAGGTTGCGCGTGTTTTGTGATCTCAAAATATCTCAAACCAAACCTGAAAGATTTTCCAACCTCGGTCGAATACTCCGAATCGCTAGACAAAATGGGACGTCAGCAATGCTAGGCCGGGAAAAAGGCAGCAAATGAAGGTCAGTACCTCGCTTAGGCCTACGTTTTGGCTCGCTTAGGCCTACGTCACAGAGACATGATTATAAGTTTGCAACAGAAAGATATATCGATATATTCGAACATGATTTCGACAGACTTGCACAAGTGGATTAAAGATGATCATCGGGGCATTCTGATTAAGTCATATATATATATACTTACAAATGCATTCTATGCTCACTCACTGTCCCCACTGTCCCTGGTCTCCCATATGAGTTACGTCATCTCCTGTACCTCTAGTTGTCCCCACTGTCCCCAGTTCCCAGTCCCCCCTAAATATAAACCCTCAAGGTTTGAATCCACATCCAAGATTCTCGGCCTAAGTGATCCAAAAAGTCGTCCTAAGTGATCCTTGGACGATCCTGGGACCGAAAAGGAAAACAGATGGCAGCAAAGGTGACGACAGATAGGTCAAATAAAACTTGGGGAGTTTGCATGCAATCGTGGCAGAGCATGCCCAGTTGTTGTGCGCACCGATTTGCGCTCACATGCCTTTACAGTACTTACTGAACACCAGCCTTTGAAACTGCCAAACTGACGTGGACAATGCTAGAAACAGATGTGCCCGTGGGGCCACTGCCTGCATTCAAAACAAACACACACACAAGCCAGCCAGCTACACAAATACAATAATTATATAATTATATATAATTATTAATATATAATACACAGATATGTTACATGTTACATCGTTGTGGTATATTGTGGTCATAGCACAACATGGATGCCATTTACGGGCTTGGATACATTTGGATACTTCAGGTGCCTGGCGTGAGCATTTGTAACCACTTGAACCCCGCAGCAATTTTCTTTTCGGATCAGCAGCGCGCTGACACGATTCCACGAAGCTACCCCCATGGAACGGGGGCAAAAGAAGCGCGTCATTATTTTCTCAACGTGCCTTGGCATAGAAGAGGGTTGGCTGATGCTAGAATTTTTGTACCTTTCTGGCAATGTTGAAAACTTGTTCTGGCGGGTGAGCTTTGTTTTGCATGGCACAAAAGGCCGTTGGGTCGGTGGATATAAAAAGGCTATAGGCTATTGCACGGCAAAGCTGTTCTGTCTTCTTTGCGCAATCACTGAGGCACAGAAGTGCATTGGTACAATACAAGGAGTCGAAAAAGTTCCTTCTGACCGAGCCAGCCGATACACAGGTGGAGCTTTTTCACTTTTCAGAACATGAATGTTTGGACATGCGAAAACTGGATGAGGCAATCAATGAAAATGAAAATGCACGTGCGTCTGTGCTCTTACTGGCCACCAGCCAATCCAGCTACTTGTGGTTTGATCCGGAGCACAGCCCGAGGAACGTGGAGCTTTGTACCACTTTACAAAGACGGCTGAGTGGAAGGATACGGTTCATTGTTTGTCCTACCACGCAATCAGCTAGAGGGATCTGCAAAGAACTCAACAAGGCTAAGATTTTTGGCAATTTTCTTTCAGGCCCCGTAGAGGTGGAAGAGTGGGAGTTTGACCCCAACCTTTCATTAAACCAGGCATGTGTCAAAAGCCTGATTTCAGATGCACCGCATCAACCTGCAATTGTTCGCACTGGACGGCAAAGCTGCTCTTGTGATTCTCGTTGTCTTGGTGGCATCGTGACGCGGATGCTGATGGTTCTCGTCTGCGCGCTCATTTGCTACATGCCCTTTCACATTTATCATATTTATCAGACACTTGCTGAGAAGAGAAGGAGCCTTGACAGAGAGAAGAAAGTTATTTTTGGACAGCGGAAAGCAAATGATGACAAAAGTGAGAGGCTCCGCAAAGAAAACGAAATGCTTAGGCAAGCGAATCAGGCACTTGCGAAAAAGAACCAGACACTTGCAGAGAGGCAACGTATCCTCGACAGAGAGAACAAAGCTACTGCTTTCCAGCGGAAAGCAAATGATGACAAAAGTGAGAAGCTCCGCAAAGAAACGGACATGCTTAGCAAAGAGAAGCAGGCACTTGCGAAAAAGAACCAGACACTTGCAGAGAGGCAACGTACCCTTGACAAAAAGAACAATGCTATTGCTTCCCAGCAGAAAGAAAATGAGGACGAGCGTGCGAGGCTCCGCGAAGAAAAGGACATGCTTAGCAAAGAGAAGCAGAAGCTTGCACAAGAGAATCAGACACTTGCACAAAGGACAAAGAGCCTCGACAGGGACAACAAGACTATCGCTCCCCAGCAGAAAGGAAGTGAGAGGCTTCGCGAAGAAACGGACATGCTTAGCAAAGAGAAGCAGAAGCTTGCACAAGAGAATCAGACACTTGCACAAATGAGAAAGAGCCTCGACAGGGACAACAAGACTATCGCTCCCCAGCAGAAAGGAAGTGAGAGGCTCCGCAAAGAAACGGACATGCTTAGCAAAGAGAAGATAGAGAAGCAGAAGCTTGCACAAGAGAACCAGGCACTTGCAGAGATGCAAAGGAGCCTTGACAGAGAGAACACAGCTATTGCTATCCAGCGGAAAGCAAATGAAGATGAGAATGAGAAGCTCCGCAAAGAAAAGTCACAGTTGAAAGCGTTCCGCAAAGAAAAGGAGATGCAAAAGCGCTCTGCCAAACAGAACCACACCATCCCTCCAAAGGGGGCAGTCAATGACGAAAGCAACCAGGCGCTCGGTCAAGACAACACTTTGGATTTGGAGACCCTTCAGGAGAACAAGCAGATGGATGCATATGGGCTATGATCCCAATGACGTGTGAATAGACCATTTATGTGTGAACTGTGTAGTGACCACCCCGAAATAGACACCCAAATCCGCACGTGTGTTTCCTTCGTGTTTTTTTTTCGCAATTGCAAGTTGCTACTGTATGGCTGTTGGATTCTTACTTCAAGTAACGCCTTATAAGTTTGCCTTTGCATAGGGTACAAGATCTGCCATGACAGACGTCTTGCATATGAAGCTTTCTTTTGAAGATTGGAATTGTTTTCTGGCGGCTTTGAATTATAAGGTTTATAGACTATGAAGAGATAGTAGGGAAGTGTATGGAAGCCAATGAATTTTGAACCGCACATTCCTGGAGATACCAGTAACACCCAAACCTCCTCAATTGCTGAGCACGCACCCTGTGAGGCGACAGCGGCAGGCACAAACAGCTCATGGTTCGATTGGCGCCCCTTCGCTCCTTAGAGTAGCGACCAGCAGGCCGTTCTTTCCCACGCTAAAGATTAGTGGGAGCAACCAGGAGGCCATTCTTTCCCACTGTGGGGCATGAACTCGCCAATCGTTGAAGTCCCTTTCAAGCCTGGCAGCTGGCCCAAGAATTTTAATGTTCAGAAGTCCATGTCTCGCCGCAAGGCCGAGCTTTTCAAGCCAACGAAATCAGATGGGGCCGCTGTTTCTTCCACGGCTGCTAGGCACAAGTCCCAGCAGCTAGCTGCCCGAATTTTGTTATTCTGGCAACCCTAGACTTCCTGGACAATTCAACAACTGGTTGACCTTTATCCGTTCAGCAGTTTCAACTCCCAGGAACTAGGAACACTATGAACAGAACTGCGCTTGATTATTCCATAGGATGCAGGAAAGAAGGGTCTTGCGGAAATCTAGGGCTAGGCTCAGTACCATCGCTTTGAACATCGAATCCTGGAGCGGAAAAGCGGGGATGCCACTGAGTCCGTCATAGACTGTTTCTGCCTTGAAATGGAGCTCTTTGACTTCAAGTTGATGAATGCGACCTTGACAATGTGTCCAGGGAATCGTTGGTTGATTAGGATTGGGTAGGTTTGGCGAATTTTCTCACCAGCAACTCTTCTCGGCTATTTTGGTTGCTGCGCAGGGTACAGTTGGGCTGGAGCAGTCCCTGGATATCATAAGCCGAAGAGTCCTAAATGTCCTGAAACTTTGTCGAAGGAGCGGTTCCAACATGTTCCAACAATGTTTATGCAATGTATGATGTATTCAGTATCGTTTAGTGATCCTTCCTGCTTCTGGGTGATGCTTGTCCTGATGTGTCAATAGCGCAATCGCACCCAATGGGTGGAACATCATGGTATGTCATAGAACTCTTTTCAGAAGCGACAGAGGTTGAGAAACTTTCAAACAGGATCAGGACATGAGAAGAGCTTGAAGCTCCTGAGTAAACACCAGACCAAACACCAACATTACACTATGGACTGGCAAGTTTTTCCAGTTCTTGCCAGAATAAAGAGTGAGTCCGAAGTGCGGACTTTCGAGTTGTGATGCTAGCTGGTATCCATACTACTAGATACTATACTAGTACCTTGTCACTCGGACCGTCTTTTAGGTGCTGTCCTGTCTTTGGGATTTGTCAGCATGTTGGAAGGCAAAGCCACACCACTTGTGACAATGCAAACAGATGTGGCCAGAGAGCCCCTTGCTAAATACCAAAAGCACCAGCCAGCCAGTTACACAAAGACGGAGAGAATAAGCACTCGTAGGTCGTTCAGAATAATGATCGTTTCTTGAGATAAGAATTCAGCATCATTCGCAGTTTGAGACTTCGACCTCGCAGCATTTTCCGCCTCGGATCAGCAGCGCGCCGACACGTTTGAACGAAGTTGCCTGGATGAAGCAAGGGCAAACGCATTTGATCTTCTCAACGTGCCTTGGATATGAATCTTAGAAGGCAGCTGATGTCACGAACTTTGATGAATCGGGCACCTTTCTGACAATGTTGACAGATTTGACAGACTTTTGAAACGTGCGCCTGGAAGTTGGACTTTTTTTTTTTGTAAGGACGCTTGCTGTGACAAAGAACTATAGACTGACATGAATAGCACGTTTATGCACGTCTTAATGTTTTGAATAGTTTTGACATGTTTTGACATGTTCCAACTTTGGAAATTTTGGAAGAATAGCGCGCTTCACAGCAACGTTCTGCTGTTTTTCTTGATTCTCTTGGATGGGCACTGAGGCACAAAGGTGCGTTGGTCCAATACAAGGAGAGCTTGAGAGAGACTGTCGACGTGCAGGTGAAGCTCTTCCACTTTTCAGAAGATGAACAGTTAGACATGCGAAAGGTGGATGAGGCAATCAATGAAAACGAGCATGCACAGGCTTCAGTGCTCTTATTGGCAACTGGCTCCAGCCACTTGTGGTTCGACCCGGAGCACAACCCAAGGAACTTGGAACTCTGTACCACCTTGAAGAACCGACTGGATGGAAGGATCAATTTCGTGGTTTGTTCTACTACAATCTGGTCAGCAGCTAGCTGGAGAGAACACACAGATGCGATTTTTGGTGACCTTCTTTCAAGTTCTGCACGCGTGGATGAGTGGAATGGCTTTGACTCCCATCGTTCAGTGAACGAGAGATCTGTTGTGAGCTTGATTCCAGATGGACAGCATCAACCTACAACTGTTCACACTGGATGGCAAAGTTGCTCTGGTGATTCTTGTCTTCTCGGTGGCATCGTGAAACGGATTTTCATGGTTCTCGCATGCATGCTGATGTGCTACCTGCCTATTCATATTGATCATGCACTTGCAGAGAGGCAACGTATCCTCGACAGAGAGAACAAAGCTATTGCTTTCCAGCGGAAAGAAAATGAAGACGAGAGTGAGAGGCTTCGCGAAGAAACGGACATGCTTAGCAAAGAGAAGCAGAAGCTTGCACAAGAGAATCAGACACTTGCACAAATGAGAAAGAGCCTCGACAGGGACAACAAGACTATCGCTCCCCAGCAGAAAGGAAGTGAGAGGCTCCGCAAAGAAACAGACATGCTTAGCAAAGAGAAGATAGAGAAGCAGAAGCTTGCACAAGAGAACCAGGCACTTGCAGAGAGGCAAAGGAGCCTTGACAGAGAGAACACAGCTATTGCTATCCAGCGGAAAGCAAATGAAGATGAGAATGAGAAGCTCCGCAAAGAAAAGTCACAGTTGAAAGCGCTCCGCAAAGAAAAGGAGATGCAAAAGCGCTCTGCCAAACAGAACCACACCATCCCTCCAAAGGGGGCAGTCAATGAAAGCGACCAGGCGCTCGGTCAAGACAACACTTTGGATTTGGAGACCCTTCCGGAGAACAAGCAGATGGATGCATATTATGGGCTATGATCCCAATGACATGTGAATAGACCATTTACGTGTGAACTGTGTACTGACCACCCCGAAATAGACACCCAAATCCGCACGTGTGTTTCCTTCGTGTTTTTTTTTCGCAATTGCAAGTTGCTACTGTATGGCGTCTGGCTGTTGGATTCTTACTTCAAGTAACCCCTTATAAAGATTGCTTTTGCATAGGGCATAGGGTACAAGATCTGCTGTGACAGACGTCTTGCATATGAAGCTTTCTTTTGAAGATTGGAATTGTTTTCTGGCGGTTTTGAATTATAAGGTTTATAGACTATGAAGAGATAGTAGGGAAGTGTATGGAAGCCAATGAATTTTGAACCGCACATTCCTGGAGATACCAATAACACCCAAACCTCCTCAATTGCTGAGCACGCACCCTGTGAGGCGACAGCGGCAGGCACAAACAGCTCATGGTTCGATTGGCGCCCCTTCGCTCCTTAGAGTAGCGACCAGCAGGCCGTTCTGTCCCACGGCGGGGCATAAGAATCGAATTTCAATGCTCAGAAGTCTATGTCTCGCAGCAATGCCAAACTCTACGAAATCAGGATTTCCCCCTGATGGAGGGTGAGTGATAGCATTTAAGATGGGGCCGCTGCTTTTTCCATGGATGCTGGGCAAAGTCCTGGCAGCTGAATTTTCACGAAAGTACCAATTTTCAAGAAAGCTAGCAATTTTCAGGAAAGCTTCTGCTAGCTGAAGTCCCTCTTGCTTTAAAAGCAAGGTATTGACTGGGCTGGTCTCCCGCCCAGTCTCCCCCCTCATCTCCCCTTGGCTGGAGTGATGTTTATCAAGATCTCATCGTCAGGAACAGTGTATTCAATATTCAACATGATGTGGCAGCATTATCTCATCATCCTTAGCCTCCTGCTCCTCCCCCCTCTTGCTTGTACAGTACCCGCCCTGCTAGCTTTCGTTCTTTTCCTCAAGTTTAGTCTAGCCTGGCAACCTTAGACTTAGACCATTCACAAGCTGGTTGACCTTGTTTGCTATCCATTCAATCATTCAGAAGTTTCAACTCACTGGGACTAGGAACATTATTGAACATTATGACCGAAAGAAATGGCTTGGAGAAGTCTAGGGCTATGCTCAGTACCGCCGCCTTGAACATCGAATCATATCGAATCGCTGAGCGGAAAAGCGGGAATGCCATTGCCGAGCCAAGAAGTCCGTGATTTCTGGTTGATGATTCACATGACACTTCACCAGCTCTTTCAGATTTTTGGTTCGCTGCGCGGGGTGCAGGTGGGAACAGTTGCCAGAGATCCGCTGAATCTGTTGGGAGCCGAACAACTGTACTGATTGATTCACATGGCTTTTCCGTTGTCCACATTGTGGTCCCAAGAGTATTGCTCCATTTAGTCCTGCCGGTCTTGATTTTTTGCACAATTTTAAATGATTTAAACAAATGAAAAAACACGTGAATCAAGTGAAAGGGGCTGGCAAGTTTTGAGACAGCGTCAGAATAGGAGAAGAGCGGGTTCAAGCATTTGAACTTGAACGCATGCCAACATTGGCTTGACAGTTTCGTATCTGTGATGTCCAGCTGCCAGCTATGCTGGTAGTAGCCCGCTTAGTTTGAAATATGGTGGCTTGACTAAGGCATATCCTCGACTATGATGACTCATGATGAGTCTCTTTGCCCAGCCTTGATCTAGGCGGGGGATGTTTGTTTTCCATCTCGTCCCAAGCCAATGGCGTAAATAGACTTTGGAGAACTGTTGTCGCTATGAACAGAGGGCTGCCGGATTTGCAGGGCGTTACTGCTGCCGTCGCATTTGCCTTGGATGTCATGCAAGCCATTTGTCCTCTACCTTGCCCTTGCTAAAGGCTGCCGGAATGTTCTGGAATTGTGCAGGTACCTTCAAAGATGTTTTGTGCTGCTGTGCTTCTGTGCTGCTGTTGTGGTGAAATTCTACGCCAAACACAAACTGCTGGCAGGAAAATGCAGCAAAGGAACAAAGATGATAGATATTGATAGATACTGTAGCAAATGGCAATAGTAAGATGTGCCGAACAAATTGAGAGGTTTGAACAGCTCCACGGCAGTAGCTGCACAGATTTCATCAGATTTCGCTGGCTCAGGATCGACCTTAGGGTATACATATAAGATTTTACCAGGTCAAGGAGAGTATAGGTGGCCATGCATGCGCTTGAACTCGTCTTGTGTCTTGGGGAATGGTTGCCTCTGTTTGTTGAGTGTTCCTACACGGCTTCAGTGAATGCGACCGATACGTTCAATCCAATGTATGTTTTGATCCTCTAATCATTCTAATCCTTTTGATACTCTGGAGATCTCTGGGCTCTGGACAGGCGCTATGACGGCGCTTTTGTGTTGGGACTTGTCCCTTGCCAGCAGATCTGATGTTTTCTGCAACCTGGCCGTTGCCACGAACAAGAGAACGCCGGAATCGACATTCTCATACAATATAGACAATATATTATAATTACTGTAGATGGATTTCGCATGATCTCGCGACCGTTGCTGCTGATCATCTCAAGCTATCAAACTGATCATAGACAAGGCAGAACAGGAGAGCCATGCTATGATCATTATCACGTGTCCTTTCACAGCTTCTGAACCCTGGATGTTGGGTCTTATGGAATCACTGGGTATGAGCAGTATGAGTCCTTCCTCAGTGATCAATAATAAAAAACAGTAAGAATAGCTTGGCAGATGTGACTTGTCACTGCTGTTGATGTGGAGTGCGCCCCTGGTGACCCTGCACCTGCCCACGTCTCCAGTGCATCCCTGCACGTGGCGTCGTGTTCGGGATGGCCGCGCGGCACGGCTGCGAGTGGCTGGAGCGGCTGTCTTTGGCCTCGCTTTTAGACGGCCGTTGAGAGTTGACGCGGCCGTTGCTGTCGGTCGCCATCCACAGCGCGTTGGAGTGGCACAGGCAGCGAAGCCGGAGCAGGCAGAGCCTGCAGCCATCGCAGCGGCGAAATCAGCTGAACATCGATGGTGCTCCGTGGTGATTAATTTGGCGCGGCGGCCAGACAGGCGCCTGCAGTTGGCACATGTCTTGGCAAATGGCAATGCGGAAGTTCTCGCCAGGTTGCTACGAGTTGATGCTGTGGATGGTAGGAAACTGGACGTGGAAGATGCTGCTGTAGAGAGTCAGGTCTTGGATTACATTACACCTGATGCACTCCGAGTAGCGCAAGAGGCGAAACAAATTGGGGCACATACCATCGTGCATAAAGATGGTGAGCTGGTGAAATTTCATGATCATTTGACTGAAGGTGGCATTGCATGTGCCATGTCGCATTACAAAGCTCTGAAGACAGTAGCAGATCACCCCACTGCTGAGTGGGCCTTAATCCTTGAAGATGATATCGAAGCACTTGTGCCGGATGTCCATTTGCAACTTGAGAACATCATCTCACGGTTGCCTGAGACTTGGGACGCTCTCTTTGTCGGGTACCACGGAGGTGTGTTGCAGGGCACTGGACCTGGAGGTACAGACACGCAACAGGAACAGACTCGTGCCGAATTCGAGCTGCAAATCGATGAGATGAGAGGAGTTGACAATCCTGGCTGGGACGGCGACAGCTTTCAGGGTTCAGTTGAACCTCGTTACGAGAACGAGATACCGGTGCTTCGTATGTATAGTCCTCTCTACGGTTTATATGCTTGGGTAGTCCGCAAGGAAGCCGCAAAACGACTCTTGGGAGAAGCCTTCCCTGTGCCCGGTCAAGTGGATCATGCCTTATCCTTGTGGCTGGTGCAGCAGGGAAACAGCTTTAAAGTTGCTCCTAGACACATGTTGTTTTACAGTCCCAAGAGTGAAGTTGGCTTAGATTCTGACATTCAAACAATGACGCATTTAGATCAATTGCTTGCTGATCCTCAGCATTGCGAAGAATACATGAACTTTATCAATACTCACCAAAGCGCTGAGAATCCCAAAGAGCCTCCTGCCTAAGCCGGGCGAGAAGCACTGAAGTATTCTTCAGATATAGGATAGTGTCAGCTGAAAGATGGAAAAATCAAAAAGACACATGATGATCGATCTAAAGGTCCTTGTAAGGAGTTTTAATTGCGAAAGCCGTGCATGTTATGTTGGAAACCCTCGCGAAAGTTTTTTTTCGAGTTCGCGAAAGTAAAATTTTATTTCGCGAAAGTTTCGCGAAAGTCCCAATGAGATTTGACACAATTCTGTTAAATTGGTCGACTTTAACGGTTCGGAGTATGTAAAGGGCTGCCACCCACTGCCGCCCGGGGTCCGGCAGGAGAAGGGCACCAGACCAGAGAATGCGAGTAGCAGCAGCCAAGTTTCCAAAAGTGAGGCTTTGCGAGAGCCAAACACCAAGGCCCCTGGTCTTCGCTTTTCCTTCAGTGCACCCCCTGCTGATGGCCGGGGTCTGTGAATAGGGATATTTTCGCGAAAGTTCCGCGAAAGTTATGCGAAAGAGCGGGCGAAAGTCAAAGTGCATGTTGAAGGGGGTGGGCCAGTAAACTTTGCAAAAAAAATCTGTCCTGAGAAGGGATTCCGTGATGCTAGCTGCATGTTTAAAAGGCTACCAAGAAGTGATCCGTGATTCTCTGGCGTAATTTGGCAGGTGGTGAACGAATCTTCATAAGAGGTGTTGTTGGCCAACATGGGCCCCGCGAAAGATAAACATGGAGTTCGCGAGAGTTTCGCGAAAGTAAAATTTTTATTCGCGAAGAATGGCCGTTCCGGGAAAAAGGAATTTTGATCAACAACCACATATTTTTAGACGAGCACAGTAGATTCAGTAGATCTCAAAAGTTAAAACCGAAAAGGATTTAAATTTGCGGTCAATGAGTTGATGTTTGCCTTTTGCTGAAGACTTTCATGTCGTGAACATCCTGCCGACACAGGTAGATGACCCAGCAGGAGCTGTAGTGACCGTAGTGATCCAATTGACTAGGATACAGACTTGCTGACAAAACCAGCATTCCGAGCATTGAAGAGCGGCCCAATGGCACCGAACATAATTTCCACCATTCAGTCCTCCCATCGCATTGTTTGCAAACTGCAGAGAAATGCAGAGAAAATTTATGTTCTTTCTGTGTGTTTCTGTGTCAACTGGCATTGGGCATATTTGGGCATCTTGAGTTTGGAGCAGCTCTACTCTTGACATGTTTCTTTGCAGCGATTTTGAGCTCCAGGCGGTGTGATTCATGAAAGTTCGCCTGCACGAAAACCACTCAGAACACGCGGAAACATGACACTTTCCTCAAGAGGTATGGTATTCTTACGATATTCTTCCCCGATTTTGGAGGTTGGACATTTTAACGTATTTTAAAGCCCCCCTTTTCCTTAGTTGGGCTTCAGTGATCAAAGTTCTCAGCCGCAACACATTGCAACCCTGACGCTGGAGCTTTGCCATCATATCCATCATGTGGGGAGCTGGGTGTGCAGCTCAGGGTTGGAATAGTCATGTTAACTGATTTGAGGCCCACTCGTCAGTCCCACGTTGTAACGGGTTTGAATGGAGAAGGTATGCGATGTGTGCAATGAGGTACCCCGTTCAGGCCTCCTTCGTACCACCTGGTGGGTCCAAGTCTCAGATACAGCAAGAGATTCGGAGAGATATTTGTCCCTCAGAGGGTGGGACAATTCTTTTTTTGTGGACAAACAATGACAAACAATGACAATGAAAGACAATTGGCATCATTTATGTAACAGACTTTCATAAAGAGTGCTTGCTGCCAAGGGCGGCCAATCCGTTTGTGCCGGCGCAGCATGCCTGGGCCCGGCGCTCGTGGAAATCATTGTCGCACTGGCAAGCGGTAACAGACAGGCTGAAATGACTGAAGTGACTGATTAGCAGAGACTTCAGGCAGTCACTTTAAACTTTAAATGTCTCGCAAATTCTTGATTTTTCGTTTCTTACGGCAGCCCTGAAAACTTGCTCTTCCTCAGGCCCAGCAGCAGCAGCAGCAGCAGGGCCGGTTTTCGTTGGGCCACTCAGAACCTCTAGGATCACTCGCGGACTTTCTTAATCTTCCAACCTAAATTTGCCATCCATGTGTCAAGAAACGGCCTGCATAGACAAATTCCAGAGTAATTGTATCATCCCATCATATCATATCATATCTACTTTTTTCAGCACCTTCCTGAACCTGCAAGTTGCCTAGGTATGGTGCGCAGCAAGCTGTCCAGGCAAGCTGTATGACATAGATATCTTGGCGTTTGCAAGGGCCAGGCGGCCAGGTCATTTGTGGGGCACTACCAGTCACTACCATGAACATATTTCTATGAACCCCTGCCGTGTGTCACAGGCTGCTTATGGCCAGTCGAGCTCAAGTCTTAGACAACTGCTGGCAATGGTCATTCTGCAGCTTGCCGAGCACTTGAATGGAGGATTCTGCAGCTGTTTATGGAGCAAGTATGAGCACGTTACAGCACGTTGTTTTTTTCTAGTTTGTTGTTGAGTGTTCCTGCTGTTCACCCACCGGATTTGCAAGATTCTGCAAGTGTGCTTGTAAGACTTGCCGACAAATACAGCACACAATTCCAAACAAGCAAGCCAACCAAGAGAGCAAGCAAGCCAACAAGCCAGCCAGCTAGCATGCAAGCAGGTGGACAGTAGGGCATGCCACCGCTGTGTCAGCCAATGATGCCACACGCATGTACACAGAGTTGCTTCGCTGGTTCGAGGCGCAACGATCAAAGTAGCCGCCGATAATGTTGCGGGCATTTGACACGTGTATCAAATCTGGAAAGACTGCATCAAAGTGCTGACGCAAGGTTTTGGAGGGAAACCACATGAAACCACTATACCTATCTATACCTGCCATTGGATTCATTTGGTCATTCCTGGTTGTTCTAATCCAATTTATGAAGCGCATGCCCAAGCAGACCATGTTTGATGGAAATCATATGGAAATCATATGGAAATCAAGACGTGCCCCTGGGATGACGAATCCGCTGAATCGAAGGCCAATGGTGGGCAGTTATCACCAGGAGTAACGGTGCAGAAGTCCGCTTTGGGTGGTTACGGCCTCTTCCATGATTTGGGTGCTGAAGCAGGGGAGACGATCTTAGCGCTGCCCCTGGATGCGTGCTTGTGTTTTGGCTTCCGGCAAGTACGGGGTACCGGGGGAATGGATAGATCACGATAGATCATAGATATCATAGATATGTCCGAGATATTTTCGAGATATGTCCGAGTCCTCATGGTTCCTTGATAGGATATGATAGGATCATAATGATATATAATTATATAATGATCATATCAACTTGGATGAGAGGCTTGTTTTTGTACGGAGCATTTTGCCGCATGAGGTCATCGGCAGACGCTTCTGTGATCGACTTGCCGGTGAGTTCGAGCCTTCGCAAATACTGAACATGACGGATTTGGATTGATTTGGGACTCTTTGGGCAACATGTTGCCATGACGATGTGACCAAGTGAAGTCGGCTTCCACGCGATTGATTCTTCAAAGATATCTGATGACTCACTGATGACTCATTGTTATATGATATTATAATATTTATATGATATTAAACCGATATTATATATATGACATTCCTTGATATTCCTGATCTGACAGATGTTCAAGGGATTCCATGTACTGAGGATGTTCCGACTAGCTGAGCTCCTATGTCGGGAGTTGCAGGCAGAGAACTCCCGCTGGGCCCCATGGCATCTTGGGCTTCCAAACAGATACAGTAGTACTATGTAGTACTATGTAGTACTATGTAGTACTATGTAGTACTATGTAGTACTCGTACACAGATAGTACGACATGGGTGAGGCTCGGGAAAGGCATTGTGACTTGTAAGATCTTGTAAGGCGAAATGATAGGTTTGGTTCAGCACATGAGTTGAGGCACGGCATTGCAGCATTCCATATCTCACACGTTCTATCGGCAGAGCATGGCAGAGCCATGTAGCCCAGGTTTGCATCTCTGCCACTAAGCTGTGGCAACTGGCCAGAGTGGGAGGAAGCAGAGCTGTCAATTGCGCGGCAGGGGCCTTCCCACTTCTATGAGGCTTGCCGGGTGCGCAGAGAAAGTAGATCACATTAGCCAGGCATAGCCAGGCAAGCTACTAGTTTGGACAATCATCTACAACCAGACAATTCCATTCCCCTGAACTTCTACGTGCCTTTTGGATTCTTTTGGGATAATTAAGCAACATCTGTTGCAATCTCAGTCAGGAATGATCTGTTCGTGGAATATCCACTGACTGAACCATGATCACATGCCACACTTGATAGTACGGCAGTGCCCCCAAGCTGATTAGAGACCGTCTCAGTTCTCGTTCTCAATTCATTCTATGGCTTTTGTCATTGAGGCAGCTGTGAAGCTAACCAAGAAGTTGCCGTCCTGGCACAAACAACTGCGCCAGATCCTGTCTGACAGACGCTTTGAAGCAGAGAGAGGAAAGAACAAAAGCGAAGCCACTGGCAGCAAATTCGAATCAAGAGATGGAATTCCGTCAGACATCCTGAAGCTCCTTTGGCCCATGAAAATCAACTCTTTCTTTCGAATCCTCCTTGTAAACTTCAAAATAAGATCGATCCGCAGCATGAATTCTGCATACAGAACCAATCAGTCATTGAAACATCATGGTCTTTGGGTTTCAAGCTTTGGCACAGGTGCGATTGCAAAGGAGGACTTTGGAACGTTTCGGAGGGCCATTGCTATCCTTTTCAGCCGCCGTTTCGGTGTGAAGCTGGATGCAGATGTCACAGCCCCTCGGCCACAGGCAGCAGGTTGATGGAAAACCATACTGAACGGGAGTTTGATGTAAAATGATGTAAATCTCTTGTCCAATAGTATTCAATAGTAGCAAAACTTGATAATGCAAGCTGTGGTTTTTGCGTGTTGGCCGATGTCAGCAACGTGGCCAGAGGTTTGCTTGCCCTTGGGCGACATGATCAATCACGCGCCTTTGCCTTCTGCAAGCGTGGAGGTCCAGTACCACGGAGCATCGAATATGATGCGTTTTCAGACCACACGGCCGGTGGCAGCTGGAGAAGAGTGGCCTGGCGATATTTTTCAAATCAGTAGGACAGGAAGGACGGGTAGGAAGCCACAAATGCCTAAGACCAGCTTGTTATCTAATGGACTTGGAGCCATACGGCGTAATTCGCACGCCAATTAGTAATTAGGGTCAATGCTGCACAGTCATTTGTTCTTGATGGCACTTGTGCATTGCAGCAACCAGGCTTCTCATGTCATATGGTGAGTTCAACAACTTGGAGCTTTGCACGAACTATGGCTTCACCCTATCTCAGAATTCCCTAGACAATGTCAGCATGAAGGCCATGGGCAAAGTCACAGAGCTTTGAACATATGAGCCATTCCTTACTCCTTTCACTAACACGAGCTTTTGTATTTATTGAATTTTATTGGTTTCTTATGGTTTCTTGATGTTTTTCACCTCGCGATGCGAAATCCATCACTGTTTTATCTGCTCGGTTGCCTAAAATGTTTGTCCATGCTGTCCCGTGTTACAGTGTTTTGCGGTGATATGTAGCCTGCCTCGGCCAGCGCCGGGACAGGGTGTGGACATCGCAGAGTTGGATGCTGAGCTGAATCTGTTGGAGGGAGCTCCAGGTCGAGATCTGTCCCTAGATGCGTCTGCAGGGGCTCAGGCGATTGCGGCTTTCCAGCAGCACTACAAGGAGCAAGCCTGTACTATCTGTACTTTAATGTCAAGCCCTGCACCCGAGCCCAAGTATATAATCATTATTCATCATTATTAATTATTATACTTCACTTATTTCACTTTTGCATTTTATAAGCCATTCTGCTTGCCACTTCACATGACATGAGGACCTCTTGGCAGTCATCGCTTCCTCCGAGACCTTGGAGCACCAAGATCGAGGTCGAGAAGGTCGAGAAGGTCGAGAAGGTTACAATGGTTGAGCTATGTTGAGCTATGTTGAGCTCCTTGAGCGCTGAAAGGCGATTTCGAGGGCGGCTTCTTATTGGTGGCATCACTTGGCCTCGTTTCGTGGCACCGAAGCTCTGTCAGGGATTGTATCACGAAGGCGCTTCTTGCTCGAACCTTGACAGATGCTGCATGTCAGCATCCAAAATAGTATCTATAGAGGCAATACACATTTGACTTATCTTGACTTGCGGGCCATTCATGCAGACAACGTTTTTCGGTTGGTGTTGTGCTATCGCTACTTGATCTACTTGCGGTGAGAGCTTTCAAGACTCGCTAAAGATTGGCCATGGCCTTGCGCCGGTGCTGGGTTTCTGTAAGTTGACACGCTTCAAAGCTGGACATATTGCCAAGAATTCCCGCAGAATCTGCCACATTCCCAGATTCCATGCGAATGCCAATGCTTGGGCTATGGCTATGATACTGTGTCCTATGGTCCTAATCCTTTTGCGCAGGGAACTCCAGCCCACAAGGAAGACACAGGGCAGGAGTGAAAAAGTAAAAAAAAAAAGTGCCACTTGCGTGACCATCATGGAATCATGATTGGAGAGCAATTCGCCCTGTGGATCCCTCGTGAAAATCGGGAAAGAATTGTGTTTTTTTTTTTAATCCACGTCTTTAGTGAGTTGGACGTAGCCTGTGGTGACCTGCACCCTCCTGCACTAAAGGCTTGACTTACCAGCCCTTGCAGCAGATGCTTTCCTCGTCAGAATCTTACACCAAAGACTGGGGAGAACAGTGGCTTTGTCGTTGTTACCATCGTTGTCCTAAATCAGAACCGGAACTTCAATCATCTTCAATCTTTTTTGCAGCCGTGAGTTGACGAGTAGTTGACGCATCTTCTCAGGGGTACCACTACCACCAAGCATGCTGGAGAGGAGAAGTCAGGATCTCGAGATGGCTGTTGATGCTCTTGCGGGCGTCCCCCCATGTCCATCCAGATGAGCAGATCTGGTGAACAGAATTTCTGGCGAAATTTATTCGACGACTCTTTGCCGATCCTTGCTTTGATTCACGTTTGAACTTGTTTGAAACATTTTGAAACCGGCACATGCTGAAATTCGATTTAGTTTCGTAGATTTTAGTGCAAGTGTGCTTGCTACCGATTGTCACCGATTGGCATCTAGGTATATTGCGTTTTCGGAGGGCAATGACACTGAGGAGGTGGGAACCCGCAGCACTGCACTATAATATCTATAGTTGCTGCTCTATGAGCATTTGGAATTTTTATCAAATTTGACTCTCCATTTCATTTCTTACCCTTTCAGTGAACCTAAGCTGCTAAGCTGATTCCAACTGCTGCTCAGTTCGTCATTCAAACCCTGAGTGGCGAGTTCACGGCCAGTAGCTTAAAACCAAAGAGTCGCCTAAACTCATGCATAATTATTGCCTATTATTGCCTATGCACACCCGCCACTTTGGTCATATGCTGAGGTGAAAGGTGAAAACCATGGTCGGCCGTTCTACCAGAAGATGCCATACACTGAGTGTCGTCTTAAGTGCAAGCCGCTGTGCAAAGAGTGAAAGACTCAATTCCTTTTTGCAAGGCCTGTCAGAGCTGGAACACCGCCACCAGAGGCTGGCAAGCATCATGTTCTTCAAAAAACCTAGGCTGCCTGAAGGGCCATGAAGGGCCTATGTTTGTTGATATGTTCCATTGATTTCCATTGTGTTCCACATCGGTGGTCGGTTTCGCAGGTCTTTGTTTACTATTGGGATGGCCGGGACGGCCCATCTTTCGAAGGATGGTGGTTTGGCAAGGCCGTGTCGTGGCCGTGTCGTGGCCGTGTCGTGTTCCGCTTTCTTTTTTGACGTCGGGGAAGGGGGGTCAAGTTGGACAGCTGCTATGCCTTCACAGGCAGTGGGTGGCAACGAGGCGCATGTCATGGTGCAAAAAAATATGACCACTATGACCTATGCAAGGTGACCAAAGTGTAAAGGCGCATAAAGGCGCCAATGGCTTGGTGTCTTAGAGTCACAGATCGAGAAACTTGGTAGGTTTGGTCCCACTGTCCGGATCTCAGAACCGGCTTGCTAAAGTCTAGTGAATGTTGGTAGTTAGTATAGTTAGTGAAGGTTGGTGATCAACACCAAAGAGTTCCTGGTCATGAGGCCCAGAGAAGGCTATGCTGCCACCACTGAAAGGATGGAAAATCCCCTTTCAGGGGTCAGTGTCTCAGGATGTCTCAGGATGTCTCAGGATGTCTCAAGATGTGGGTGTGGAATGCTCACAGTGATTTTCAGTGACCCAACTCCCCGGGCGTCCGCCCCATCACTCCAGTGCCTTCGCAGGCCAGCTAGAAACACCTTCATTATGATGCCCAGGCGCAGACACCATCGGATCCTGTAGCTGCAACGATTCCATCCAAGCATTGGGTCTAGTGACAAGACACGATTAAGATAGGCACAAATGCTTGCATTTTAAGAAGATCTTTGCGATATTTTGCCATGCTGTGTTGGTACTGGCATGTTTCAAATTGTTTCAATATGCATTTTTTGGAAGCTATTGGCCATATGGTCGTACTGAAACCAATGTGAGTGCTACCACTTCTGTGCACAGTGCATATTCATGGAGACTTCTTTTTTAAATCACCTCAAGGATCCTTAAGGGTGTATTTCATGTATCATAGTGTCAGGATATATCACCAAGATATTGATATGTCAAGAGCAGTCTCACAATAATCTATGTTAAGCCAGTGTAGAAGTAGAACATAGTACAACCTCCATCCGGATGAGTTGCCTGCGGGGCCAGGTCTGAGAAGCTCAAGCGTGAGAACCAGGAACGGGCAAGCCGCGTCAAGGTGCAGCTACATTGTCACGCTATGCCATGAGGAAAATGCATTAGGCCATATTAGGTCTGCCAAGTTACTGCAATTGCTGGTTTCTTGCGATTTAAAGCGGTTTATTCATGTTGATTCAAGAAACATGTCGACTGCACATATGGAAATGATTGTTTGGCTATGTTGTTGCTGGGTTGGTAGGATGTTTCTTATGATTCTTGCCACCAGTTTCATGGAAAACATACCTATCCATCCTATATATCCTATCACACGGTGACGGTGAGGTGCTGGAACAAGGTGCCAGTAACGTCATCAACGCAGCGCAGAAGGCTGTAGATGAAGCCAGTCGGAACACCCAGGGGGCCCCTGGACCAGTTTCGGAGAGCTATAAGCACCTACAAGCACCTAAAAAAGGATCTAAAAAGGATCTATAAAAAGGATCTAAACTCCAGCTCTTGTCAAACCATGTCAACCCATTTATAATTTAGATGATTTACATATATTTACATGTCATATATTTAACACATTGTTCAGCTATGGAAGGAGGTGGTTCCAATCCTGGCCCTTTGGCACCTCGCAGCATTTGCCCAGAAGTGGTGTGTGAGAAGGACCACGGCAGCCTTGATCTCAGTCAGTCTATGACAAAGGGCTAGCAGCGGCTAGCAATGCTACGTTTGTATGACTATGTATATTACAGTATACGTACGTACATATAAGTATACATAATAATATATATTTATATGATTATATGTATATAATTATGTTGCAATTATTACGATTATAGAGTTGTTTCGAGTGTTTTGTTGCAAATAGATCCAAGATGATCTAAGTAGAGTCGGATGCTTGACTCGAAAGGTCACAATGATTTATTCGACTTGGACCATCGCTCCTAGATCACCCATTCAGGTCGTCATGGCAGGGCACATGATCTTTGGCAGATAGAACATTACATGTCTGATGTTGCGACTTTTTCTTTTGGATGCCACTTAATAGATTATATATACACATATATACACACAATATGTATATATATATATTATATTATATTATATCTATTCGGCTGGAGCTGGAACCCACCTTTGCACCCGAGGCTTGGATCCTACAATCCTCAAGGAGGTCGAGGCGGAATTCCATGAGCAACTGGCAGTCCAACCCACTGATTATAATCCATTCAACTCACTGATATTCATCAATATTCATCAATATTCATTAATCATATAGATTATTCACAATATTCATCAATATTCATCAATATTCATTAATCATATAGATTATTCATAATATTCATCAATATTCATCAATATTCATTAATCATATAGATTATTCATAGATTATTCATATAGAGCATTGATATAGCAGTAATATTCATATTCATTCATTGATCATAAATCCCCCCATGATCCCCCTAGATCCTGACCGTTCAGGCTTCTCTCAAGCCGCATTTGCAGGCTGGTTTTGATGCCTTGCACAGGCCGGGCCATCGAGAACTGTCGATCGGTGCGTACGTTTCAGGCGCTGATGGACCAGCTGAAGAATGTTGAATCCGCTGGATTGGGCACAAAGCTCAGATTTCCGAGTGTTCTGAAGGCGTCTCAGTCAGAGTCATTGACAAATTGATATGTTTCATGTGTATATACGTACACACACACATATAATATATGTATATATTGTCCATATGACTATCATATATGATATGAATTTTATTTATATGCACATCTCCGGGATTTGCTGGGCACAAATGCATGGAGCTTCTGGCAGCCTTAACATCCAAGTCTCATGGAAGTTTCGAGGTGATGCCACCAAACAGTTGGAGCACAAATCTCAGAGTCAACGACCAGCGATGCTCCAAACTGCCCAAAATCTGCCCGATGTGACGAACGCTTCAGGTCGAAAATCCGACGAACACATGTCCAAGCCACTGATGCGATCTCCAAAATCAAGGTGCTACAGTGCTAGAGTTTGCTACAGTTTGTGGGGATCAGACGGTATGCATTTCTACAACTATGCCGGCCTTCAAACAAAGAAAAACCCTGCTTTCGCCTTCTTATTTTGGTGTATTGCGTGTTGTTCCTTTAGTATCCTTTATAGTATGTCTATTTCATTTGAGGGTCAACTTTAAGTTGAACAAGTTGAACCATAGAAATGTTATGAAATGTTACAGTAATGCCTGCCATAACTGGTTGATTTTGATGGTGGGTTTGCCACGTTTCCCATATTTTCCCGTCGTGGCCGACTGCAGGTCCTCGTTCCGCAGGCCAGTGGTGAATATGTCACCGAATCCAAGCATGCTGTAGATGAAGAGTTCGGAAAACACCAAGAAGTCCAGAGAAAGATATTCATTTTTTTTCTAGAGATAATTCACGCTTTTAGATCGTTTCAGATCATTGATCCGGGAAGGAAGCACTTTCTTTCTGCTTTGCATTTTGTGGGTGCCAGATTATGCGGGTGCAGCAAGAGAAACAATCTGAGCAACGAGTCTCGCACCCAGTCGACTGGACCTCCAGTGATTCGAAGTTCCGAATGATGGTGTCACTGTGTGGTTTCAACATGTTTCAAGCTATTTGCTTGGACTCAGACATGCAAAAAGAATCAAAATGATCAGAATATGTGCCCTGCAATACCAGCCGTACGCAGTCCTTTGCTTGTTGATGCTTGTTGTGAGGCTTTCAACTTTGTCCATGCCACTAGTTCCACTAGAATCCGTGCAGCCACATCTAAAGAGATTTGGCCATTTGAGGATGAGAAGCTGTTGAAGGAAATGCTCACATCAATAACTGATAAGTTCCATGCGGCAGAGGAGACGCAGACATCATTTCAGAAATCTCATTGAAACCGAAGAGTTTCCGTTCGTAGCATGTTGGATGAATTGGAAAAAACATGAAAAACTCGAGGACCTGGCAGAAAAGGCTGAGATCACTTCAGCAATGATAGAACATGAGCCTTGGCATGATAGATCTGGGAAGATAGTGGGCGCAGAGATGACATGATATGACATTATATGAGATATTATGAGATGATATATGACAGATAGATTGAAATAGACGATTTGAAGATCCAAACTTGATGACAGATGCTTGGCCCGAGCCTTTCCCTCATATCCTCAAACTGAGAGCTTGGAAAATCAGAAAAACGTTTGTGGGACATGTTGAGAAAGGCAAGAGATATCCAGGCCCTTCATCCACATGGCATCGGCAGGCTGGTGAGGACCTTGTGGAAGCTCAAAAGGCTGCTCAACAGACTGAGGCCCTGAGAGTGTCGTCAGAACTCACGCCGACCTTAGCCATCCATAGCCGACCTAAGAATCCACAAAAGAGATGCAGAAAGATCAAGCAGCCTCGGCCTCGCTATAGAAAGATTAGGAAGCGATGTGGTTCTTGGATGTTCTTGGGAGCAAGTGATTGCGAGTAGGGTCGGAACTGAGATGAACTGAGTCCTTCTCTTTGATCAAAAGACAACAATAGACTCCAAATCAATCCAAATCACACTTCTCCTCCTGCGCTGAAAGGCTGAAGTCAACCTGATTGTCACAGCACAAACACATTTGATTTTCAATGCCTATCATGTATTATCATGTCATTTATCGTGCCAGCAGGATGCCAACAGTACTAGTTGAGATGCACTGGAATATCGTGGAAGGCTGTTTGTTTCTTCGTAACATTTGGTCCATTGTTTGTTTTCCTTGCGTGTTTTGGTCGCTGGTGTAAACCTTGCAAGAGATCAGATCATTCTTCGCACATGCCTTGCTTCAGCACCCTATTTTTGAAGGAATCGGCAAAGCAGGCAGCTGCTGCAGTGGCTGGGCGACAAATATTGAAAGCCAAAGGTCGCACTAACCGTCACTAACCATGATGTCCTCAGTCCAAACTCCAAACCATCAAATCACCATTTTCTGCCTGGGGATCATTTGGGGATCTTGGAAGTGGACTTTTTTGTGGGATGTGGTTCTTGAATCTTCGCTGTCGCATTGCGCAACCAAGGTGAAAGAAGCATTGACCGTTGCTGTCCTAACTGAGATTCGCAGTGCTTTCAACATCTTGCAACTATTTTATACTATGTTCAATTGCTTTCAAACTTGCTTTCCTCGATGGTTTGCCTTGAGCAGCGCTTCAGTCTTTGCTGCGGTGGTTCTGTGTGTTGATTTCTGGCACAAGGCTATTGGCCTGAAGTTGGCCATGCTGAAGCAGTTCGAAAGTGATCAAGGTCGGCTGAAGGCGCGATCATCTTCCCATCGGCTGCGTGAAAAAGCTGGTGACATCTGGTGACATCTGGTGACATTTGGTGAGGGTTGACACTCACAGGCTACAGATGCTTTGGGAACGTTTCGGGAGAAGCTGCGAGTAGCCAACCAGATGCTTGGAAGATCTTGGAAGATCTTGGAAGATCTTGGAAGATCTTGGAAGATCTTGGAAGATCTTGGAAGATTGGCCATGGCCGTGGGGGGACAGCAGGTGGCTGTCTTGCTGTCTCTATGCATATTCTGTGGATTTAGATGATTTAGGTGGCTTTGTACTGGTTTGTTGATGTTTGTTGCTTCAAGATGACGGGTGTCTGACAGCGGCCAAAGGCCAAATCTCGCCATCCATCTCGCGGTCCCAGGAAGTTGGTGCCTTTCCTGGCTGCACAAGACACTTTCAAGGCCCAGGCCGAGGCGAAGTATTTGGCTGACGAGCTGGAAGCCAAACTCGCACCGGCAGAGGTGAGACATGGTGAGACATGGTGAAACATGGTGAGACCTGGGGCATCTGGGGACACCGACACTCAACCGGTGGGATTTGATGGGCTGATTTGTAAAATTTTGTAAAATATGTGTATAAACATGTACAAACATGTAAAGACAAAGATGTCACTGGTTTTGCTCAGGTTTCTCAGACTTGACATTTCTGACCTATTCTGACCTATTCTGATCGTTCTTTTGTTGGGATCACCATGACATGACTCAACCGTCATATGACCTGTCCGATGTCGCGCAGGTTGAAGTGGATAAGGCCGAGCAGGTTGCAGAGCCCTTGCTGAGCTTTGCCGAGGCCATTGGGGGACCGCCTGGGAAGCGACCGCTTGAAGCGATGAAGAAATGATGAATGCAACCTGGGGACACCCAACAATCTCAACACACATCTAATATATGTTAACATATTTTAACAATTTTTAACATATTCTAATATATTAGAATGCAATGGCCAGCCTTGCCTCTTGCCTCGCGCCACCTGTACATCAGGGACTGAACTGATGGCGCTATATATGATATAATTGTAGGAGTTGTGCTGGCAATCATTGGTTCTATTTTGACATACTTTGTGCATCAGATTTCTTAAGCAACTTAAAGATCTTAAAGTGGACTGAAAGAAAAGAGAGGTGAAGTGCATCACACTAATCATTTGTCTACTGTCAAGCCCCGGACCTTTACCCAAGCCTTTGCGGAGGCCGCTTTGGCAGCTGGTCAGGCAGCGGCAGAAGCCACTGCGACTCCCAAAGCGACCCTTGTCCCAGTGAGCTTGCACATTTATGCGCGCACGCACACATGTATATAAAATACATACAGATAACACCAAATAGAGGCGATGGAGACAATACACATCAAATGCTATGATATATTAAAATATATTAACATTATGATATTATGCATTCCTTTATGTGGGCCCCGCTGTGACATGCTCCACGCAGTCATGGTTGCTACGTTGCCGCTTCATGTGCTCTAGCTACATGTCGCTAGAGATAGATAGATGCTATCATCTTCCGAGCACGGTATCTACGGTAGTGCGTGCAGCTCAAACCCATGGTACAAAGCCGTGGAGATCCATCTGAGTTCTTAACCCGAGCGCCAACTAGAAGCTGTTTGCTGTTTCTTGTTTTGTTTGCTGTTTGGTTTGTCGAGGAAAGCCAGCAGCTCGAAGGAGAAAGACAAGAAAAGCGAGACATCCAAAGAGAAAACTGCCACCCTCAATCAGCTTCCAAAGGCAGAGGTGGACGCATTTCAAGTTTCATGCATCTTCTTGCTGCAGCCGCTTCATCTTTTGTATTCTTTTGTAGGCACCATGCTGAGCCGTGCTGTTACAATCTGTTACACAGGTAGTCGCGCAAGCGGCACAGAATGCCCAAGAAGCAGCTGTGAGCCTCCAGGGAGTCGTCAAACTCCTGGAAACCAAGCGATGCTCGGTCGCAGAGGCTGCACTCATCTGCACTCTCCGAAGATCCACAGCCAAGAAGTTTTAGATCCACAGCAAGTCTAATTGAAAGATTGAAACTAATTGAAACTCAGAGAGAGAGAGAGAGAGAGAATCAAATTGATTTCAAGGTGGTTTTAGAATGTTTAAACATTTTAAAACATTTTAAAACGTATTAGACAAGTAAACGGGAAATGGGCTGGATGCTATCGGACTGCGAAAGAGACAGCTTTTTCAACTTAGGCAGCGATCAGCAAGTTCTCTTTTCCGCTCCCATGAAGAAGGCCCGGCAGATGCCGGCAGAACGGGATTCTCAGAGATTCAGATGGGACAAGATGCAACGAAAACGGACAAACGAATCACTCTGATGGAGAGGGAACACAAAGATGTGCATAGCTTTTTGGGAGCGATTCAGACATCCTTGGCTGTGGTGATGATAGTTGAGAAGATGGATTGCAGCCCTCTTTCCTGATTTGGGCTGATTGCAAGGTGCTTGAGAAAGCTGAAAATCGTGTGAAGAATGCGCAGAGGTTGGACACTGTTGGACACTGTTGGACATGGAATTGCATGAAGTGATATGAAGTGCATTTTCTGATATTTCTGTATTTCAACAGAGATCGATCGAAGATTTGGGATTGCAATGATAGCTGTGCAGAACCATAGCCGCCATAGCCGCTACGTTCGTGCAGGAAGTTGGAGCGCATCAAAGTTGCGCAGAAGGAGCTCAAAGAAAGAGAGACCAGCATTGCCTTGGAATCTCCTTCGCATTCAGCTTCGAGTCTTCGAGCACCCGAAATACGATCACAAATTACACACTGATTACACACTGATTGCACACTGATTGGCAGATATCACCCTGGTAACATCCGACATTTAGTGAAGGAAGTGGTTTTTGCTTTTGGCGCTGCAATTTATTGCTTTCATCCGCTTTCAAGGTCAGCGACGTCCAAGAGAAGATGGAGTCGGTCGAGAAGGCAAGCTGCTTCACGGTGGTGCATCAAACTGGACTCCAATCTTAGCCGGGTATGTCTGGTTTCCATGACATTGTGCACATTGCCACGACGTATCATGACCATAATCTTTAAGATCTTTATGGATCCTCACAATGGAAAAGCGTTTTTGGAAGCCAGTATATGACTGTAGTCCACGCTAAGCGAGTGACCATGCATCACTGCATATCACTGCAAGATACTGCAAGATACTGCAAGATACTGCAAGATACTGCAAGACATTCGAGCCAAGATTCATTTGCCTGCAGGACCTTGTTTCCACACATGTTTTTGGACACTGTTGCATCTTTTTCAACATGCATCAGGATGTTTCCATCTGGATTAGCCAATCCGAAAATCACTCTAGGACTTTTAACAAATTGGACGGGCTATGTCCTCAGAGTTTGCTTTCGCTTCAGGCTCTGAACCTCGCGAAGGAAGCAGTGGCTGCATGTCAAGGTGATGAACAGGAGGGTCGGGGTTTGCTGTGGCAGCCCATGGCAGTCCAGAACGACTAACAGCGTACTAGCAGCTATTGGCAGCTGCTCAGTTGATCAGTAGTTGATCAGTCCGGTTCACTATTCTTGGAAGCAAAGGGCAGTATTGGCTGTTGCCAAAGAGAGCAGGTGAATTCCACATATTGACTGAGTTTGTGGCGGCACCCCCATAAGCAGCCCACAAGCAGCCCACAAGTTCCAAAGAAATTCGCCCGGTGGATGTTTTGGTCACATGTCGCAATGCCCCGGCTGCCATGGCATCAGGAGATGCTGAAGGTTGCAACTAAGGAGGTGTCAACTGCCAAAGTTGCTCTCTCCATGCACCTCGGTGTACGATGTGAATCCGCAACTGCCACCACATAACCCACATCATTCACATCATATCACCACGTGCTCAAAGCAACTTAACGGGGTCTAGGGATGTCTAGGGCTGTGAGAATAGGGAGATTTGTTTTGCTCAGAGCATGCCTTAAACATTTGGCATCATTTAGTCATAAGTAATCACCATGTAATTACCACATTGTGGATCAAAGACAACGCTTCCATCAGTATTAATATAATTTAATCATCAAGCACTTTCTTTAGCATGATGATTTCATACATACATAGACCAGTTCGCAGCATGGTTTCGTTCAAGAAGATGCTAGGTGACCTTAGAGCTGGGCACAACCGTTTGACAATCCGCAAGACCTAGGAGACTGCTGGAAGTGAAGCGCTTCACGGCAGAGGCTCGAGCATCTGTGCATCCTATGTACCAAAATTGTCGCGAGCAGGATCACGATGAACCAATCATGCAAGAAACAAGACCTTTCACGAAACAAAACCGGGGAAGGATGAACATTGTGGAATCATGTGGAATCATGTGGAAACGAGAATTTTCGATCAAATTGTGTGGATTTGTGTGGTGCTTGCAATGTGCTTGCTGTTTCCCCCCGATCCCAATGAACGATGTGAGTGTGATGTGGGATGTTTCATGCACTGCGCAGGCTGGCATCCAGGCACAAAGGAGTTTGCAGGAGCACCAACAGTCCTTGTGCGAATCTGAGAGCATTTCACTTCCATATCACTATTATCACTTCCATTAGTGTACCAACGATTCAAAGGATGATAGTCAGGTTCCCTTCACTTTTCATCACTTTTCTAGTGCTGCTTTCACTGAAGGGTATTCTAGAGAAGTCTCAAGGGTAGAGGCAGACAGAGTCAGCCTTGGCTCTGTTGCTCTGGATCCAAGGCAAGCGTCTTTGGCCGAGATCGAGGCACTGAAAAAGAAGGCGGCAGAGAACAAAGAGCAGCTGGTCCAAAGCCTCCGTGACATTTTCTGACGGTTTTGCCAAAGCATTGGGATCAAACCAAGATACCCGCTGGTAATTTAACATAGCTATGGAAAATCACCATTTTTACTGGGAAAACTCACTATAAATGGCCATTTTCAATAGCTATGTTAAATTACCAGAGGGTAAGCCAAACCAATCTGTAGATCATCTGTAGATCCTTTTGATGCCTCAGGTTTTGAATTAGTCCATGTGTGCACCCTGGCGCATGTGTCCGCCCGGTTTGCGTGTATGCAACATTTGTCAGCGCGTTCATGCAGAATAGCCGACAGATATCTAGGGATACATACTGCGTCGTCGTATGGTACAACATGCACAACTGCAGTATGTTGACATGCTCCTTGTGGACTCACACATACATTCATGTTTACTGCAATCTTTCTCATAGCCTTGCAATTGGTTTTCCTTTTCCTTGATCCATTGGCAGTGTCAATTTTTGGTGACCAAGGGTCTCCAAGCGTAAAGAAGCCCAGCGGAAAGTGGAGGAAGCGGAAGATAGGGCGCATCAGGCCTGGACCCATCAGACCCATGGCTGTTCTGCGCATTGCGAGTATTTGAGGTGCTGTTGATTCACTTGTGATTCTGAGCGTTGCACTATGTGGTACTCTGAGTCCTTGAATATTTTTGAAACTATGTATCATATGATTCAATGATTTCAGCTGTACGTAGTTTTTTAGTGTTTTCCTTTGCATTTTCTTTGCGTTCTCAGGCTGAGAAGTCAGCTGCTGACATCTTTGATGAGAGCCGCATTGCCTCCATGACGGCCATGGAGATCCGCGAAGCCGGAGATAAAAATCAGCAAGCCTTCAAAGGCACCATGGAGGCTGTCAGGGCGGCCCAAACGATGATCACCACCTTGCAAATCGAGGCAAAGAACAAGGACACTGGACATTGACAGCGGACGACAGCGGACAGTTATTCAAATGATTTCAAACGATACATGATAAATCATGATAATGTTCAGAGAAGATCATGATTTGCCAGGATGGAGCGACTAAATCGGATTGATAGAAAGAGGCTGTAAACATCTGTAAACACTATCTCTGTCATCTTTGTCCGATTAAGATCCGTTGCCCGCATATAATAAAGTCAATCACACGCTAGTTTTATGGCAATGCAGAGCATTCCCCCCCACACAAGTGCACCACCCAAACCGGCCTCATCAGGAGAATGCAACAACCCTGACACATGACTATGCAAAGCTGCAGGCCAAAGCAAAACATAATGCAACACAGATTCAACACATAGTTACTTGATCAGACAGTACTTGAGATTACTTGACGTTATTTCACATTCCCATGATATGAGTTCGACTTCCGGCCTTCCCAGAGGGTTGTCATCGCAAGGCACGGCTACGCCAAGCAGAGGCAGCAGTGGCACACTGTGCAGTGTTGCCACCGGCTGTGCAGGCTGGGTGAAGGTATCTGGAGGTATTGCTACCTGCTTTCTGTGGCCAACAGCTCCGATCACCAGGCGCAACTGCAACTGAAAGCTCATATTGACGAGGCGCACATCACAAGAATGGGAAATCCTTGGGAAGTGATTGGCATACAGCATATGTCATATGGATCCATATGGCTCATGTGTCAATAGGTTCAGACATGTTCAACATCTCCAATCATTTGATAATTTGATAGTCATCACATGTCATCACCTTGTGCTAGAAATTGGAAGATGCCAAATGCCGAAGATTTGGCCCCTGAGGTGGAGTCAAAAGTCAAGGATTCCGAGGCAAAAGTTGAGATTGCCGAAAAAATGGCCATGGAAGCAGAGAAGAATCCACTACCCGCAGAGGAGAGAGCTGGGATGAGCTGGGTGACGTGTACACTACCAGAGTGTACCATTCCGGGTTGGTGGCCCGTCAAAGTGTACTCCTTCTGCAATATTTCAATTTCATTTTTGGTTCATTTCCATCTTCATTTCTATTCTTTCTTATTCTATTTTTTGCCTGTCATTGTTCATCATGTTCCATCATTGTCCTATCATTTTCTTCGTTGTCCAATCATTGTTTATGAAGTTGCAAATGAAGTTCCAAATGAATTTGCAAATAAAATCTTAGATGGAGTTCCAGATGAAGTTGCAAATGAAGTTGCAAATGAACAAACTAGCAATCCCCAAAAAATAAAGTTGCCGATGATAATTACGTGAAGTTGCACTTGATGAAGAAACAAAGTTGAAGTGAAGTGCAAATTAATTGTTTCGCCATTTTCCAATGTTTGACTGCCAGAATATCTCATAGACTCTGTGGCAGATAGACATTGTGCATGTACAGCGCGTTCGATTCTTTCAGGCAAACCTTGGGTTTCTGAGTGGTGCCTCAAACGGACATAACCCACATCAACTTACCTACATTCAATTGTCAGGCACATTCGGCACCAAAAAATATGTGTAACATTAATAAATATAGAGATATATAATAGGCGTTAATACTAATAAATATAGAGATATATGATATATGAATGTATTTATAATCTAAAGCTAAGGGTAGTTAAGCCATGTTAAAACAAGTTCGATTTTCGTTTCAGCCTCAAGATGTTTACCTCGGGGCAGTCTTCGGAGGAAACCAAAGGTGACACAAAGACTTCGGGCGCAGAAACTCATCTGCACTTGTCACCGCAAAGAATGACGCAGAATTTGTCTCAAGAAACTAATGCAAAGTGGGAATGGCATGGAATGGCTGTGAAGGAGTAAGCTCCAGCAATCATGATAGTCAGACAGAGGTTTGAGGTTGCAGCAAGAGCGACCTTCCCCTTTCATTCTTATTGCCGTCGCCTCTTGTTTTTAAGGGCGTTCCAGCACCAAAAGCTTTTCCTTCAAAGGCAATGCCCTACAAGGCCGCAGCTGATTTCCATTGATTTCCAGGAAAGGCTTCCTATTTGCTCCCAACTTTGGATTTTGATGCTCTTTGCCATGAATTGAATTGTACTCACAAGCTTTGTGAAAAGCTCCGTGCTTCCGAGCTGACACAAACTGACACAACAAACTCAACATAACTCAACAACTGACACAACCAATCAAACCAGCCAGGGCAAAGCTTTCGGAAAAGGAGAGGCCAAAGGAGAACCTGAAGCCACCGGAGGCGCGATCCAACTGCACTGAGACAGTCTCAAGAATACTGAGACGACACAGGCAGATGGCAAAAGAGCGATGCCACATCAAATTGTTCCACAAACATCAAACAAACATATAAAAAAACACAACAGACATCAAAACATCACATCAAACTTCTCCAAACTTTGCGGAAGAAGAGAACACCGAGAGGTCCAGTGGAGAAGGCAAAAGCCGCGGTGGAAGTTGCCAACCTCGAGCTGAAGATGGTGATGCGCTACCTCGAAGCACCCTGGCAAACGAGCCATGCATTTTCGGATCATTTTCGGATCATTTTCGGATCATCTTGGGCCCTGGGTCACTTTAGCCGGTTGGAAATCTCTTCGAATAGGATGTAATACGTTTGGTTTAGCCGGGGCCTTGTTGGCGATGGTGACACAAGGCGCAGGCCAAAGCAGAGAGAATTCCAGAAGAGGACAGGAATCTGAATATATAATTTTATATATTAATAATTAAAAACATAATGATAAAATAATATATATAAAATATCATATTATATATATATATATGCATATTGATATTATCTGAATATATCTGAATGGTGTGAGGCATGGAGACTCTTTCCGCAGAGCTACTTTCATCGGGAAACTTTCTGCTATTCAGAGCCGCTTGCAGGACATGAACATCTTGAAGGGAAGAATTGAGGCCGCAAAAGCGAGGCCAGTGGTGTGGAGGTCACAAGTTCTGGAGATCCGCGGGGTTACTCAATGATATGATATGGATTGATATGGTATGTTATTCTACGCTTATTACACTTATTCACATTTCTGATCACCTGAAAAACTGTTTGGTGATGTTTGGTGGGGATGCAGCCTTTTTTTGATCGGAGAGATACCAGGTAGCCGTCCAAAAAGATAAGATTCCCAACGCACGCGACGAGCGGTGTAACATTTTCAACCACCCAAAAAGGGTTGCAGTTGAGGTGCAATCACTGAACTTTCTTGGGCTGGTGGCTTGAGAAGGGCCGGAAGGGCCGGATCTTAGGATTCCCAGAATCTACTTCGATGACACACCAATTCCCATCCAATTCCCATCCCTTCCAACCGCGTCCCACTTAGATGTTAGCAGGGTGGATGCAGCAAGTGGCTTGCTGGAGAAAGCCGTTGAGAAACGTGCCAGCCTCGCACTTCTGGGCGATGCTGATAAGAAGGTCCGGGAGCACGGCTTGAGCACCGAGAACGCCTGATATGAGTCTCATTGTACAAACTGCGCCGATTTAATCGATGAATTCCATACTTGTAGGAGTACTAGGAGTCTCAGTTACCCCCCCTCTTCAGGACATTGTGCTATATTAAATAAAATTATGCTTTCAATATCCTTCAATCAGTTTTTTTCAGTTGTTCAATCTTTTCTTTCAGGTTTTTGAAGCCGAGAAAGCTGTGGAAGCTGCTGCAGAATTAGCAGTCCCTCTCCAAGAGCTGATGGCGAGTGAGGCGACATCGGCACACCTTCAGTGGTGCGATCTTTGCCCAATCTGGGGGGCTTTACTCAGATCATATACACTGCACAATCCTATCAGCATTGTTTGATAGCCTGGAAGAGTCTGAAGAGTCTCAGTCGTTCAAGCCTTTTGCATTGCAAGTCGATCCTTGCCACCGATTCCAGAGGAATGACAAGCTTTCAAGAGCTCCGACAACATGGGCTTGGTATGGTTTTGTATGGTTTTGCGATGTTTGCACATTCATTGTGCATAACAATTGCATGATATTCACTGCCACCATCAAATGTGAGAGTGCTAAGCCTGCTATAGCCTGCTAAGCATATTGGGGCAGGAGAAAAAGCCAGTCAAAGCTCAAGGCGAGTTGAAAGCACAAAGCCTGTGGGGTGGGGAGTCGCTTCACACGGCATCCAAGACCCGACGAGGAATCCATTTTGCGCATGTTCTTTATCTCTTGTCACAGCTGGATGCCTTGGGTCTTGGTCCTGGTGGTGGGCCAGCCGCTCAGCCTCTGGCTCAGGTGGCAAGACATCGGAGGAGGACGGCAAGGAAGCAGAGGACAAAGATCAGGAGGGTGAGAAAAAAGAAGAGAAAGACGCAGAGAAAATGGACGAGAAAGACGAAGAGAACGACGAGGAGGGAAAGAAAAACAAGGACAAGAAGGAAGAGAAGGAAACGACGGATGCACAAGGACAGGAGAAGAAGGGCGAGGATGGCGAGGACCCTAAGGATGGCAAGGGCAAGGGCGATGAAGACTCCAAAGAAGAGATGAAAGAAGAGATGAAAGAAGAGAAGGAGGAGAAGGCCTGGACTCGCTGTCTCTTAGACCTCTTGTGAACATCTTGTTCCTATCTGGTCCTGTCTTCTTTACAGCAGCCAGAACTGTCCAGACGATTCCAGACGGAGTTTCTATGAGTTTCTGAAATCGCGATAGTGCGATGCTTAACGATTGTCCCGAGGAGCCCGTAAAAGAAGAAACAGAGGCCGCTGTCACCGCTGTCCACACAATGTCACACGATGTCCCCGTGGCACTCTTTGTATCTCTTTGTCCTTCCGCTCAAAGTTCAATCTGTATTTGCCTGAACAGGGGCTGATCAGCACAACTGTTCTGCGCCAATCTTTGACTGTTTGATCCTGTAGCCTAAAAAGCATGTAAAAAGAATTAACACGATGTAAAAAGCCTGCAAAAAAAAAGCCTGCATAATTTCTGTATCTCAGCCCATCTCAGCCCACTCAGATGTTTGCCACAGGAAGATGGTGAAGGGAAAACGGAGCCGTCTCCCTTGGAAGAAGCTTTGGCTGTTCCAAACTTAGATCTCAGCAATTTGTCAGCAGTCTTTTTGGAATGCCCTACCGTGCATGATATGCAGGCGAATACGGACCATTTCTAATCATATATATATATAATATTATATATTTAGTTAGTTATACTACATGTTACTAGAGGATGCTGCTGTATATTCCGGCAACGCTTTGCTCTTGCGCTGCGTTGACTGCCCTTAGGCCATGAACAATGCTGCCCAGGCCTTGTCATGACTTGCCATGTCTTGCCTTCTTGCCATGACAATTCTGACATGGGCCATTTGGGAAAGATACTTTTGATATCTTTTGATATCTGATTGAAGTCTTGTTCACTTCTGGGCCTTTGCAATCTTTTGCCATCTTTTGCCTGTGAATGCCATTGGATGGCTTCTGGTCCGCTCCTTTGCCTTGCTGTCCTATGCCTTTCTATAGCCATAGCCATCAAACTACATCAAACGTACATCAATCTGGCAGGTTGCAAGTCGACAGCTGAGTCGCAGCCTCAGAGATTCGCATCCGCTTTATGATGGTGCAAATTTGATGCGTGCAAAGTGGGGCATGGACCAGATCAAGCATCAACATTTTCCCTTGATATCGGATGATATCGGGTTGTGTCTCAAATTTGGACAACATGCAACGCGGAAAAAGCTGCCGTGATCAAGGTAGTGCAAAAACCACCCTTGCGGTGAAGCGCATCTCGGCAGGGCATCCCAGACATTGATGACATCAACCGCAGATGATGCTCTTCCCAGTTGAAAGGTGCCGACAAGCGCCACAAGGGATGTTTTCCAAATGCTGAGAGCGAAATCTCATGAAATCTCAAAGTCAGCCAGACACTATCAAGACTCATCACTAAGTAGCCACTACATCCGATCGCCTCCCGTTGTGCTTTTTCTCAACTTGCATGTGTACATTCTGAAGCACAAAATCTTCAAAGGCCAAGCGCCTGCCTGGAAACGCTCCAGTCATCCGTGTCACGTTTAAACACGTTTCAAAACGTCCTCCCAGCAGATGGATGTGAAATATGTGAAATGACTTGGCTTGACACCGTACAGTATGGCTTGATAGTGCTTGATCCTTGTCTAGTCTAGTTATTCGATGTTATTCAGGCGGTTTCTTCGGTACATTTTGCCGCCAATGGTGGCAGGTTGTCCAGAGAATATCATTGGAACACATTGGAACATAGTGTGATGACGTTCCGGTGACTTGCGGTATGACCTGCAACATCAAAAACTGCACGGTGCATGCTTGGCCGTAATATCAAGGCAGACTACTATGTCAAGCCACTATGCAACATGTGCCTTGAACAAGCACCTTAAGATAGGGCATGGTCATTCAAGCACGTTTTTAGGTATTCGGTCATAGTCATAGTCCTTTTTGTTGGGTTTTGAGTATAACGAGATATAACGAGTATAGAGGCCACATGAGGCCACTTCGAATTATTCGGGCATCACCAGTCACTGTGGCACGTGCCAGGCCACATGCTTGGAACAGCTTGATGCATTAGCCCCAGTGCTGGTTGATGCTGATGCTGCGTATATGCTGCGTTTGAATTGCGTTTGAAGACGTGGTGAAGCCTTGAGTTCAACACCACAATACACCACAGAAATCGCTCAGATGTCAGATGCCTCTGTCATCCACTTTACAGTGACTCATTGCAAAATTGGCTTCTGTCTTTTACTTGCGATATGATGGACAAAACAGGCATCAAAAAACAACAAGAACAAATAATTCAGTACATGTCAGTACATTTTGATTTCCCAATCGATTGTAAGAATGTTTTGCTTTCGGGGAGATCCCCAGGCACTCCAGAAGCGCTTGGACGCAGCCATGAAGCGCCTTGCGGAGGCTGCGGCGTTGACATCTCGACAGAAATCATGGAGATAAGTGATGATATGCAATGATATATATATATTACTGTATATATATATATGGACAATATATACGCATACATGTAATTATATATATACACAATTATATACATATATGTGCAGGATATGTGGGGATAGTGGAAAGAGAATGGGAATGACATGTATGATTTTAGATGGCGTTAATGAGACATCATGAGGATGGGGGAATGTAACATGAGATTTGTGAAAGTTCTGAGTTGGGGATCAAACAGTAGGATTGATATACAATGAACATGAGTGGCTCACGTAGTGACGTAGTGGGAGAAAGCACGAGAAAGCATGCTAGGGAACTTATCCATAAGAGTAGACTGCGCAACACTGCACAGATGCTCTTCTAGCACATATGCACGATAAGACTGAAGCGCGTGAAAACGTATACAGTACTTTTTTTCCTCTTTTTTCCATGCAAAAAACATCTCACATTGTGAGGTTGGCCCAAATCAAGGGACCTTGTGGCAGTGACTTAAATGATCAGGGTTCATGTGTCGGGAAACGCCCTTGACGGAACAGGAACGCCAAAGTCTTGGGGTTTTCTAAACTTCTTGGCAAACTTCTTTTATGCCTCGAACTACGACGATACACCTTTTTACTTTATGAGCCAGGCTTGCTGTCCTTGTGTTGCAATGGTGAATCAAATGATCAAACATTCAAACAAAACAAATAAACAATCATTCCACAATCCAAAAACAAATAAAGAAAAACATTCTAAACATCAGCCACCGTACTGACAAATGATCTCAAATGGACTCACCAATCGACCCACCAGTCAATCCATCGGTTGATCAATCAATCATAGTCACTCAAAAGTCTATGAATCCAGACCCCCATATTCAGCCACATTCAGCCATATTCAGCCATATTCAGCCGCATTTTGGTTTTCATCTTCGAACTTGCAAACCTGTCTCCCACAGAATAACTTGCTGTCTATGAACGATCCCTGGCCTGGGGAACGCGGCTAGCGGATTGACGTGGATTGACCAGTGCCACGTTTGATTGCCAGAGGGTACTCGTACCTTTCCGTTTGCTCCTTGAAATGGTTTGAATATGTTAGAATAAACCTCAAATGTAACCCTGAGGGCGGACTTTTTCATACTTTTTCCATAAAGTCGTCAACCAGAAAGTCCCGTGATAGGTGATAAGACAAGGTTACGTACGTGGTTGAGTTAAGTGGTCATGATACAGACCTGATCCGACTCGTGCCGTTGTTTGACATGCCAACGCTTATAGATTTTGCAGGTCCGCCGTGGAAGCACTGATCGGCAATATGCCAAAGCTCGCAAGGTGCAGAGGGGAGACAGGCGAAGGGAGACTAGACACTTGAATAATCTTGAATAGGCTTTTGGTCTTTTGGCATGTTGAATTTTGCGGACAAACATGTTGACCCGAACGGCCCTACATGCACACATTTCACTAGAAAAGCTTCGAACGGATTGAAGCTTCAAAGGTTTTCCACGGATGTTGAGAGACTCTGAGTGACCACACTTGAACTCATCTTCATGACTGGATGGTCCCAGGCGATGGCACAAAGCATTGAACAAGCCGAAGCGAAGGTAGGAATCGTGCAGTGACACTCGAACGATCAAGTGAGCATTAAACGTGCCAGCTAGCATCCTGAGTGCAGTGAACGTGCCACGGACCTGTCGGAAAGACATAGCATGATCTAGTATGATATAGTAGCTCATACAACCGTGAGAATCTTTCTAAGTTTGATGTCAATAGTTGTCAACAGATCAGAAATATCTGGCTGCTCCCCTGGTAGCCAGGTGGAAGCATCAAAAGAAGCCTTTCAAGCCCTGATGGATCTTCCAGAGGACGATGGCTATGGGGGCTATGGTGTGACCTATGGTGTGACCTGATGATATCAGGTGGTGATCTGTGAAAAGCCTCTAAGAACCTCTAAGATATATCGGGATGCATTGTCTCAATAAGCCATTGACCATGCCAGGAAGCAGATCTGCCCAAGATGCAACAAGTTCTGCAGTCAGCTGCTGCAGCTCAATCGGAGGCGGACACCATCCCGTTGAACTGGGTTCAACATGATTCAAAGATATTCAAAGTGTAATGCACAGGAATGCCAGAAAACAAATTGATTTCATTTGAATTCCAAGGTTCACCAAAATTCGTGAATGTTAAATTAATATATTATTAATCTGAACTGTATAATGTTAAAGAGATGGCCGAAGTGTAAGGTATGCCCGGTATGCCCTGAAGAATTCGAGCCCTGGATAGACCAGAACACTCAGCCAGGCAACAGCTGCAATCCAAGCTGCTCGCGTACCTTTGGTCGAAAGGCGCCTGTGCAAAATCGCGTTGTGTAGTCCGATCTTGTCCCATCCATTGACCGGATACGATCTGATGATATCTGATGGCTTGAGACTTGATTGAAACCCAGGCTTCAAAAGGCTAAGGCTGACGGTGTCACAAACTCAGATCGGTGTGGCAAGACTTTTGAAAACGCATGAAGATCAGAAACATTTTGGAAACATCGTAGCAACATCGCAACAGGTCACCTCAGATGGCTGCATTGAATGCTTCTGGCAACAGAGAACAACGTGTCAGGTTACAACTGATACTTCAGAGGTGCTGAAGGAGTTTCAGGCCTAAGTTTCTGTGATCCTTGTCGTATTTTTCATTACTATCATTACTTTTCCATATTTTTCCATATTTTTCCCCGCCCTTGTCTCCTTGTCTCCTCGCGCGTCGTTTGTGGCCAGGAAATGTTTGCCAAGCTTGCCCCTTTGCAGTCGAAATTGGACGAGCAGCGGCAGATGGACTCAGTTAAAGAGAAGAAAGGGAAGTGAGTCTGCTAACTATGGACTGTTTGGAGATGTTTGGAGCTACTGCCCCTTTGCAAGTTTGAGACTTTCTGAAGAGTCTCTTGAGACTTGAGACCCCCAACCATCATCAAAAGTTATCAAAACATAAGCAACAAGACACAATATTACACAATCACATACAGTAATATATCACATATAACCACATTATATATATATAATTATAATATATATATATGGTACTATATATATATACCATAATATATCATGATATAAAACCTCTTCAAGTCTCAAATCTGAGGCGGGAGGCCAACGACAAGGAGCACAAATTTGTGGCCTCGCTGCTGCAGCTCCGCCACGTTTGCCGTTTTTGCTGCCGCTGTTTCGATGGCCCGGAGGGTGAGAACGGTGTTTCGATCGCATTCGATCGCCAGGATGCAGGAAGCCACCGAGATGCTGAAGGAAGTGGATGGAAAGTCTTCGCCTCAAATCTTGACATCCGACATCATCCAACATCATCCGACCAAACGGACAACACACATCGATAATTATCAATACATGATAATCAATGATAATCATGCAGAATGATCCCATGATATTGCATGATATTGCATGTGATTTCACGTGTCAAGCTCATGACACTGCATGAAAGGACGGAAAGAAGAAGGACATGCTGGCATTTCAACGAATTTGTAGCAACAAGCTGGCGCACATTCGACTACTGTAATCTCGATTTCTCCTCCCAGCCCGCGTGCAGTGAAAACAGTTTGGCACTCGATGCTGAACATGTGCAAAGCATGCGAATTGCCAAGGCTTGCTCGGCTAAATGAAGTAGCCTTGCCCCTGACCAAAGGGGAGGCATGGGAGTGGGTCAAGACCTCTCCTGTAAACAGTAGCATCAGTCATCAGTTAGCGGAAATCGACATATTCAAACATTGAATATTGTATGATCTGTATGATTCCAGATGCATTTCTCGTATTTTCTCGTCAGTTCTCCCAGCATAAACGTGTTTCATTCAGTGCAAGATGGCAAAACCAAACAGACAACAGCCAAAAAATATATATATATATATATGAATTTATATGACAGATCAGATATGACATTATTTGACAATACTTAACATAATGTCCAAAGATCAGACCTTTCCGCTAGGAACTTCAACCGCTCGCTCGCTTGGGCCAACTGCTGGAAGCGTCCGGTGAACTCAGACATGTTTGACACGTGTTGTGACCGGGTGACTGGGTGACTGGGTGGTGTTCCCCGGGTTATCCCGGGTTCCTCCAAGGTTGAGACATCATGCATCTTCGGCATCGAAGACCCACGCCACTCTCTGGGGTGAACTGGTCAGGGTCCGAGTCACGAAGTCTGTGGGTCTTGAGGGCTGCTGGATTTCAAAATTTTCAAATGCAGCGGGTACTCAACTTATCTCAACTTCCAAGACATTTTTTGACATCGTTTGAAAGGCCAAAGCTTCTGGTGGCGAAGGAGGTCACATTATCCCCAAAGGCTTGCCTTTCCCCACCTTTCCGTCCACCTGTAATTTTTCTCATGGGAAACACTGGAGAAAAAGTGCTGCCTGTGCTACTGGCAGCTTGGAATTGCACCAGCAAACTGCTGGGGGTTTACAGGCATCACTGATGCGCTGAAGTCGTTGCAGCCAGAACTGCCTGCCGGGCTTCTCAGCCAGGTCTTACAAAGCATTGGTTGTATGCTCCGGAGGGCGTTGTGTGAAGGAAGTAGTGTATCCGTATCCTTACCATCGCACCACGCATGGCTCCGCGTGGCGAAGCACTTTGCACCCCAAAGAGCAATAGATTGAAGAAGGATGACCGTTTATTGAGTGGGTGGTGTAGGTTTGTTATCGTTTGTTTCGTCTCCTTTTTGCATGTTCTGTATGGTTCAATAATCTATATGGTTCATTAGTGTTCTATAGCCTATGTCATTGCAGGGGTCCTTTATCGGATTATCAGTTGGCGACAAGGACTTGGCGGACCTTCTTGGTGCCACAGAGGAGGCCAGGGCAGCCGGCAGTCGAAGCATCAACAGGTCTTGTGTAGGGAAGAAATTGAAGCCGCTGAAAAATGAACAATCATGATAACGAGTGAGAACAAATGAATATAATATATAATATAGTGAATGAAACAGATGGAAACGGATGATGGAAACAGAACATAAACAGAACATAAACAGAACGAAACGATCCTCCAAAGATTCATCTGAAACCATCTGAAGCCTTCGAGGACGCACAGATGTTGGCTGCTGGCCTCGCACGGATGGATCCCGAAGAAGCAGCCAAAGAGGCACCATGCAGCGCAAATCCACAGAGGGATTGGAGGATTGGAGACTTGTGAGGATTAGGAGAAAACAATATACCAAAATATACAAAACATTATATAATATATCACACACACATATATATATATATGTATATATGTATATATATATTATATATCCAGTATATATCCAGAATATATCACATATAATTATATAATATAATATATACAAGTATACAATATCAATTAATATCATATATCCAGTATATATCCCGAAAGATTCTGCAGCTCCATTGGCCTCGCCAAGCGATTGTTTTTTTTCTACTGTGTACAGGATGGCGGGATCTCCGAGCAAAAGTGGTGAACTCGAGCTGTAAAAAGTAGGAATAGATCGAACGTCAGATCTTTTCTTCTCCGGCTGATGCCATGCAAAGTCAGTGTTGTATCAAAGCTGCAATGCATTGTATGCATTTGTCACTTGGTGCTGTGTTGTGCTTCCCTTCTGTTGAGGTTTATTGAGCACATGAAGGTCCGCTATCTTTGTGTCTGGACCCCGGCGCTGGGATATTGTGGGACGGGGTCTGGATGATCCCAGCTGTCAATGTCAGACTGCCAAGGTAGCAGTGGTGACTGTGACATCGGAGCTCGAGGCTTGCCACGACAGTTGCAAGGATTGCAAGGCCAATGCTCAGTGTTATCATATACATATATATATATATACGTATATTTATCATGTGTTATCCATGGCAGGTTGGCAGCAACACTGTGAGAAAGCTGGAAGTGAACGAGGCAGAGCGGAGTCTAGACCGAGATGTTCAGTCCAGCAAGTCTGACCTGGAAGATCTCTAACTGTAGAAGATTCCCCAAGCACATAGAATAACAATAGAATAACAATAGATTCAATATATATATATATGCCATATATATACACATTATACAGCACACAATATACACACAAATCACAATATATATAATATGCAATACTGCAATATCATATACAATCATATAACACAAGATATCCATACAATGATATGCGATCGATGTGATGTGGTGTTGCTTAGGCTTCAAGCGTAGCGCCTTCAGGTGCTGGATGCCTTGGGCGAGGCCACACGCGAGTCGAAGAGCGGGCTTGAGCGGGCTGGGGCCTCAGTGAACCTCAGTGAAACATCCCAAGGCTGTCAGTCTCTCATTGGAACATATTGGAACTAGCTATGATAAACTCATATGGCTATGGATCAATACCTATTAATACAATTTTTAGTGGGATGAACATCCATTTACCAGCTATTTTGATGTTCACCAGGGGTACAAGGTTTTGACACACTGCCATATAAACTCCAGGGCAAGGGTGGGTTTTTGTGTGATATTGTTGTCGATGCCCAGCATGACCGCTTGACATTTGACGTTGCTTGTTCTCCTGAGGTGGAGTGCAAGGCACAGCAAGATGGTGCGCAAGGTGTGGCGGGCAAGATTAGACGGTTAGACTAGTTAGACTTTCCACAATGGATATTACATGATATTAATATATACGTATAATATGTATAGAATTATATGAATATTACTGAATATATTGCCACTTCTATGCACTTCAGCACAAATGGGTCGGGAGAGGTCAGCCATAGGTTTTCAACAAGATGCTGCTTTTGCTGACAATTGGTATGACAACGGCCATCGGAATTTCAACTGCCTGCCAAAAATCACGACGCAGGCTTTGTTACAATCGCCGGCTCTGGTGGGACTACATATTTGGAGGTCTTTCAGTTGCATTTCAGTTGCCTTTCATGGCCTTTCTTTGCTGTTTCAGAGTTCAAATGCCGATGTCGCCCCAGCTGTAGACCATGCCCAGGTCTACACGCCATTCATGGAGAGGGTTCGAAGCCTAACCTCAACAATTGAACGACACCAGCATAGCACATCATGGCATCATGGTCCAAGTCAATGACTGCCATGTCTGTAATGTCAGGAGATCTACCCTCCGGTAGTTTAACATAGCCATGGAAAGTGGCCCATCTATCGAAATATTTATCATAGTTTTCCTATATTTTCCTCGCTGGGTTAGTTTACCAGTGAGGGTAGCCCCCTAGCATCTCAACAAATTCGTAACCTATCTGTAACGTATCTGTAACATCTCTCAACGTGAGCAGATACGTTACATCGCGATTCCTGTTGGATTCCTGTTGAGGTCCGGGCTGCAGAGGAGGCACTGGCGGATTCCCACGAGTCGGTGAGCTCCACGGTGACCTACCTCAAGCAGAAACACGATGAGTTGAAGAGTACCCGTAACTTGGCAGACTTGACACATCTTGACCCTACTAGACATGGGATTCCTGGGATACCACGAACCCACAGAAACCCTACGAGGCTCTGAAGGTGTTTGAAGGTTCTGCATTTTTTGATGCTTTCACCATCTTTCATCCATTTGATTCGTTTGTATGTTTGGCGAATCCTTGTTGTGCCACAATATGAAGCGTGAGCTCGCATTGCCTATCATTACATAACATCCAAAGATCCTTGCCCCTTCCTGGTGCTACTGCTGCTACAGGTGGCTCACAGGCTCTGAATGAGTTGAAGCAGAAGCTTCAAGACCTGCGGGTGCCCAGACCAGAACCCACTTGAGCACGTTGGGTGAGTTGTGTTTCATGTTGGGAAGTGGCACTTTGCGGAGGGAACGCAAGAGAAAGTGTTCCTTTAAATCCACTTTATATTTGGATCATGCGGGAATATATTACAGTATCAGTATCTATATATATAAATGTACATATAGATATGTTGCAAACATGACTAAACATACACGGAAGATATATTGTATAGCTGTGTGTGTGTGGGTATCTTCAGTGTATGTTTATAGTTATTTTTGCATATTGTATAAGTAAAGTTTAGTGACAGTTTAGTGTATTCAGGGGAGGTAAGGTGACAAAAACTCATCTTTGTTAGGTGCAAGCTACTCGCGTGTGAGCCTCAAATTTGGCCACGGCCAGTGCAGTTGCCTCTCTATCCTTTCCTTTTCCATTCCTTTCCAAGACATCCCGAAAAAGACGAAAAAAAGCAAACAAATCCGCAAGTTGCGGTTTAGGTCATTTGTTGGCCCAGCAGTTCTGTTTTTTGGGTTTCCATGGGTTTCCTTGAGCTATCCGAAACCGACCAACCTGAGCGCCAAGGCACAGGTGCAATACAGCGATGTCAAGCACAAAGTGACGGAGGCGGAATTCGCTTGGGTTCTGCTTGGTTTCTGCTTACGGAGAAAAAACAGCCATGAAATCCCACGGGAAAGATGTGTCAGATCTGAAGCTAATGGAATTCCATGAATTTCTGAGACACATAGATACGTTATGATACGTTGTAACAGGTAGTTGTTTCATTTTTTTGGGGGGTTGCACCAGCGAGACTGTGATCATTGTTCAGGCCAAGAACCGTCATGACCGGCAGCTGGAGGACTGCCATGAATTGTGCATCCTTTGACTGTGTTTAACGCCGCCCGTTGGATGCAGACGAGTGCACCTCATTCTCGAAATATACTTATATAATCTTATATAAATATACGTATTCACAACATTTCATAACCTGGGGGAACAATCATAAACAATCAGAAACCACCACAAACACATACAGACACAGGATACACAGGTATCACCAACGGTGCCCCTCAGGGCTTTGTGGTATGTCATGGCATGTTCCAGGCTCACAAGAAGCGACGCCAAACAGCAGCTGAGAAGTTGGCTGCAGATACCATCACAGGCAATGGGCCCATGGTCCCCTGGACCATTTTGGACATTATATAATTTTGCATGACTCCATGACCAATTACAACACAACATCATGCAACGTGTATATACGTGTATAGTATAACATAGTATAACATAGAACAGCACTCGTGAACGCATATGGTGTGAAGTGTCAAGGGTTTCGGACGAATTCGGGGAATCTCAAGCGAGTCAGGGCTTCCCTGGAGATTTATTTGGTCAACGAAAAGAAGTCAGCCCTAGTTGGCGTGTGCGCAAGCTAAATGACATTAAGACCATTGATGTAAGTTATTGGAAGTCATCAGTTCTTGCAGCAGTCTTGCAGTTGCATTTTGATTGAAGGGCAGGTCGTTGATCCTGAACATGATAAATCAATACCTAGGTATAAATCATGGTAATGCGGGGCCTACTGTTGAACCATGTTGAACCATGTTGAACCATGTTGAACCATGTTGAGCCATGTTGAACCCTTCTGAGATTGGAGATTTTCGCACCTGGCACCATCGCTGGTCGCTAAAGTGTGACACGGAGGTGAGGCTTCAGCAATGGTGGACGAGCTCATCGCAAAGGCCACCAATGCTTGCAACGCTGCCTCCAGCATCCTCAGTCAGTTCCCAAGACACCAAGACAGGGCATGTAGGATCTGTAAAATCTGTAGGATATCTGTAGGATATCTGTAGGATATCTGTAGGATGTCTCTAGGATATTTGTAGGATATCTGTAGGATTTGTACCAGTGCATTTTTTCTGGAAGTTGTGAAGATTATAATAATATGCTGTATTGTAATTTTTTTTAAATCGAGACTGGTCAAACATTTGCATAGCAGCCGCTAGAGAAGCTTTGCTCTGAGATGTGACTACATCGGATACTCCGTCTTCGACCATTTCGCTTCAGGCCAGTTGCAGTGACGTTTCGGCTACGTATAGCGTCGAGAGAAAGTTTGTATGACCATTCGTCCACATAAGAAGATGAAGATGTCGTTGTTGAGGGAACGTCAATGTGCAAACATGTGTCAAGTAGTGGCGCGCCTAACATCTACGATGTCCAGACTTTCGATTCACTGATGCATCTCTTTACTTCACAAACTTCCACAAACATTACAAACTCTCTGCTTTGGTTCTACAGCTTGTGCAGCGCATGGGAAAGGCTTTAGAGCAAGTCGAGAAAGACCTCCTTGCAGTGGTCGAAGCGTGTGCAGAGGTAGCACTGCTCTAGCTTCGTGTCCTTGTGCAACGCATCCATGGTGTGCCAGGAGTAAGTTCTGGTCTTGCGGGATTTGTTCAGAGCATGAAAAACTGAGGGCGAGGGAAAGATCATGAAGACGGTTGAGAAGGAGATCCGAAATGCAAGCAAGGCCGATTTTGCTGCTTTCTTCCACAATCTGTTTCTTGAAATGTATGTCGGTCTGTCGTTGTTGGTTTCGTTTTTGCTGATTCCTGTCCAGGGACCTCTGGTCGATGCCCGGAGAATGATGTTCCGACTGAAGGTGGGGAGTTGTCAAAACATTCACCATGTGCAAATGTTGGCAGCTGCACCATGAAGATAGAGACATTGACACAGCAACACACCAACAATTCAACTCCCTAGGTCACGCCTTTATCAGCATTTGATAGCTGACAGGCTAGGAAACATTTGGTTATCGTGCTTTATCATGTATTATAGTAATATTAATATACTGTTTGCGTGTGTATTTTCGTTCGAAGCACGTGGAGACGTCGACATGAACTGTGTAGTGATGTTTGTTATATAGTCCGGGCCTCCTTTGACAGATTTGCTTTGGGTTGTTGGCTGACCCAAGGCTATGATAATTCTATGATATATATATATATATACTGGTACTATGAATGACTTGCCGTCATATGCTATGATGGATGATGATCTGATATGCTATAGCTATGATATACTTCAACATACTGCACTATACTGTGATCTGCTGCAATACCGATTGTATTGTCTTTTGCTGTATCTATATGCTTCCGGCATATATATATATATACATATTATATGTCCGTGTTTTCCGTTCATTGATCGCTTTGATTCTGCACTGTCTACTTGTTTCGGTGTTCTCTATTGACTTGGTTGTGCTTGTGTGCCACGTGAGACTTATTGAAACTTATTATTGGAGGTTACTGAGTGACATTTGGCTGCTTCATAGTTTGCAATAGTCACACGAAAGGCAGGCAATATGATGTGTGCAAGGGTGTATGAGAAACTCGCAGGCCGCAACACACGTCTCCATAAACATCCAGAATCCATACACAACATGTTTTTCCGTTTTCCCATCAACTACAGATAACTGCAATAGTTGGGCTGGCTCAAAGCAGCTTGCGCTCAAGACTTGCTCCAGCTGCCCAAGGTGAAATTGGCACCGCTCCCAAACAATTGTAAGAAACATTTGAAGACGATCCAGGCAGCGGATGGCGGCTGCGTGCTGCAACACTAACCAAATCAGGGCTGGGATATGAGAAATTCAATAGAAATCCCAGTGATTTCTGTGGCTTCTCTGGTTTGAGATAAGATATAAAGACAAGTAACGGTGCTTTGCAAGACCGGTTTGGGAGGAACATGGAAAGACCGTCCACAGAGAAAGCGATGAATGCGGATCACACATTTTGCAAAGTTCCCCAAAGGAGAAGAAATTGATGATGGTGGAGGATGTGCATGGAGCTTTGAACACTTAATTGTGCTTGCACCACGGGTTTTCCGCGATTGTTGAGTCGTCCTTGCATGTGTCAAGTTTGTCAAAGCGTTTATTCGACTTCGCCGCAAATTTGGACAAACTGCTATACAGATAGGCTATACGGTTTGCTGTTTGCTGTTATGCTGTGTTCTGCAGTGTGTTTCTCTTTTGTTCATTTGATTTCACAGCTGTGAAAGCAGCTGGATAGTTTCTTTATGGCATGTTTCATATGTTTCGTCCAATTTCTTCCACAGCTTGTGTCGCCTCGAGCCTCTTGGTTTGGGCGTTTGGCCAAGGCAGCGCATGGTTGCGGACCTGTTGCGCGAACATGCCTGGGCCCAACGCATGATTATCCAAACAATATCCAATGGCCATTCAAACAATGTTTCAAATATTCATTTTGCATTTTTTGGATTTTTTTGGTACTTCTGTCGAGTGTCAGTGATGCAAAAGATAAGTACCACTTCTCGATACCCACTTTCTCATCACAAATCCTGCAGATCGCTGGTGTTTTTTTGTTGGTGGGGGTGTTTTCTGGAACTATAGTGGCTTTGCTGGTTGTGCACAGTGCTGGAGATATCTGGAGATGAAACATGCTGCATGGTAGGTCCACGTAGGCCCGGAGCAAAATCGACATTGAGGAAGCGAGGAACTGTTCTGTGTTGATGGCCAACCGGTGGTTCTGAGGCCAGAAAGAACAACCTCTCAGCAGATGCCCTCTATGAGCAACTTCGGAAAGGCAGATGCGTTTCTGATGATTTTATGATGTGTTTTTTTTCAAGTTAACATAATTTTGACATTTTGCAAGTTAAGATCAATTCCTGCAATTCGCAGGTGTAGTCACCGGGTTCACATGAGATAGTTGATTGAAACCCCGTGGCAAAATCTATAGAAAATGTCAGTCTGATTGTTGGTAGCGCTCCAAGTGGTGGCTTTTGCCAGTCCCTGACCATGCTGATGGAGCTGGAGCTGTCAACGGCAATGCTGATGGTGATGCCAATTCAGATAGAACAGCAGAGGTCTGGAATGAATCGAACGAATTTCTTGTGGCCCGCGGTGATCAATACATATTTATGTATAACTCTATGATTTATATGATGCAGTACTGCATATGACATTACAAAAATATATCACATCAAGCACACACACACATATATCTGTAGTCTATAGTCTATATCTATGTATATATATATACACGATTGAATCGTAAATACGTAATAATTTTGGGTTTCGAGTCTTCTTGGCTGTGGTCATCTGAACCTCAACCGCGACACTGAATTGACACTGAATACATCCAGGCTGATGGAGCCATTCCCATCGAGTCCCTGCGAGCCTTTCTTCAGAGCTTGCGTCTCAGGAAACGGCATAGCGATGAATAATGCATAGCTGTAGTCTTTGTTTCTTTGATCCATTGTCCTGTTTAGATCATGTTTCAATTTCTATCCATCTATGATCATCTATAATATGTATATTTATTATATCATATATATATATATGATCATCTATATATGTATATTATATATATATATTATATATATTATATATTATAGATTTAGAAAAAGCCAGTTGTATCACATAGACATGAACTCCTTGGGCGCATCAAGGCGTCAAAGAAATGGCGAGCGCCGAGCTGGACATCGCGCTGCAAGGCTTCGAGGTGCTTGCGCAGTTTACAGGGGCAGCAATTACTAACAGTATTGTTAGATATTGTTAGTTGGTATATATATATATATCATTATAACGTGATTGTATAAATTATATGTATATATATACATATATGTATGTGCATGCATTTGCAAGACACCAAGACACCAACACATATCATCGTAATGTATTTGGAGATGTTTGGAGATGTTTGGACATGTTTGGACCATGTAACATGTAGTTTCAAGTCAAGTTTGCACCGATCAAGCGTGCTGATATTGCTATGACTGCTATGATGTCCATTTGATTTCCACGCGCATATTTCAACAACGTTCAAACAAACATTGCAGGGGTCTCAAAGGTCAAGTTTCTGGCAATACATACATATACATAGCACTTGTCAGTCCCATCCTTTCAAGCACAAAGGCAGGCATTTCGCGATTTGCGTTTTTCGATTTGGTGCGGATCCATGGATTCAGAATGATTCAATATGATTCAGCCAGACGCAACGGACATTTGCTGGTGGAGCTTGACAGAGGAATTGGATCGGATCACTTGACATCACGCCTGACGCCCCAAGGTTGAGGAATATAGAAAGTTTGGACCTTGGAGGGCTGTCGGAGTGCTACATGCCAGTGGTGCCAATTGCAGTGCCACTGTAGTGGTATTGTCATTTTTGGGGTTGAGGAGATCTGAACAACACCTTCTTACAAGCGGTGGTGACTTGTCTAGCACATTCCTTGGCATGCCAGCATCAGGTGCGTGAAAGAGGTGGCTGTGACTGCCACGATTGAGGCTTGAGAATGACGTCGAAGCATGTCGAAGCCATCCAACTTGTTGGCATTTGTTTCATTGTGTCATAGTCTCTATCAGGATGCCCCAAAACTGCCAATATCGCTTGGTTGTGGCCAGCGCTGGCGCACATCTCACATTCCCATTGGCTGAACCCAGAGGTCAAAAGCAGCATTACTCGGAAACTAGAGATTGACGAGGTGGTGCAGGCGTGGCATGAGAGATGTCAGATATGCCATGAGATTCACGTAAGTGTTTTGAGATGTTTTACGAGCATCAAATTGATTCAAGATATTTCAAGAATTTTCAAGATATTTCAAGATGTTGGTGTCCCATGGTGTCCCATGGTGTCCCATGGTGTCCCATGGTGTCCATTGAACCATTGTTTTTGGCGATCACTAGACCATTGAAGCATTTTGAACCGGTGTACACTGGGTGATTTTCATGTGCCTGTGACCTGGACTCCTTAGATCGGAGGGAAGGTGCACGGTTTTTCTTCATCCTATTGGCTAATGTTTTTTTTTTGGGGGGGGGGAGGGCATATATATGTATGATTATGTATGTATATATATATATGATATGTATATTTGTATTATCTATCATTGTAATACAGATATCGAGGCATCAGAAACAGATTGAAAGGTCAGAAGACGTCGTTTGTAAGGCGTTTTATTCAGACTCAGATTCGGTGTCAAAGGTGCTGGGTCAGCCAACCATTGCCGGATCCTCAACTGCCATCGGCCCTGTGTGTTTCACCAAGAATTCTGCCAAGGAAGAGGGCTCAGGCCTCTTGAGAGCACCATGCCGAATCTTGCGGGACAACATTGAGGGAGCGAATCTCAGATCCATTGAACATGGTGTTCAATCGGTGTAGAATCTAGAATCAGGGGAGCTCCACTTGGGAAGGGCCACTATGTTTTGACCAGAAATGGTGTGAGCTTGACATTGATGCTCCACCGCTCCCAAGGCTGGGTTACACTCAATGGCAGCCAGGACTGGCGTCATTCACAAGCCTTGGCTCGTTGTAGACCAGAATCCAACTCAGCCATCATGAGACCGGGACCAGGGAGTTCCAGGGCGCGAAAAAATACGAAAAAACATATTGATTTGATATGACATATATACATATATATATATATCATATATGACATGATTTGATAGCAACATATAGCAACATGAGATTGCCTCAGCAATACAATACCTGAGCCATGTTGAGCCAAAGTTCTAGCCAATGCTTCCATCTGATCTGACCTTTCATGGCGCATCAAAGTGCTGAAGCTGAAGCTTGGAAGCGTTGTTTCAGAGGGAACATCTCACATGAGTCATGAGCCAGCTACTGTATATACGTATATATACGTATATATACGTATATATACGTATATATACGTATATATACGTATATATATATATAGAGAACACGCAATTTCTTGCTTCCGACCTGTTCCATAGTTGAACCAATATAATTGAAGTATCTTTCTCATGCTGAATCACGCTTAAGTTCCATCAAGTTCCTATAATTTCCCCATGTTCCTTCTGTTTGGATCTGTTTGGCTCATGTGAGTTTCATCCAGAAACTCGGCAGGGCACCGCCTACCTAAAGAGAGTTGCAAAGCCATACTACCTGTGCGAGGTTCACGGATGGTCGAGGGTGGTTTAACCAGTGGAAACTCTAATTGCCAGATAGCCAGAAAGACGCTTGATGCTGTTGATACATTGCCATGTTAATATATGTTATTATATGTCAATACATGCATGTTGATACTCATTGTCAATGATGCAGCATCTTGCACCTCTGGACTTATGAAACCACACCAGTAACATGAAACGATATGAAACGTTATAATGCAGAATTCCCGAATTCCCAGAGGGAATGGGTCCCATTGGGTCCCTACATAGATGAAAGCTTATGAAACCACGTGAGCCAATCCTGAAACTGTGCATGTGGTCTATGTTTAATCTATTTGGGAGTGTCTCATGTTTATATCGGGGTCATCCGGGGTCTCTGGCAACGACGTTGTCCGATGCAACCCTGATAGAGTGGGATGTAGACGTCTCGTTTATTTAGCATATTTCAGGAAGAGACATCACTCCTGGACAGTTGTGCATGGGACTCGGATGAAGAGACTGATAAGAGACCGGCATCATTTGCATGATTTTTGTAAGAGATGAACTGTTTGTTTTTCTCACATTTTCTGGACCTCGTTGGCAGCATTTTGAGATGAGGGGAATCGAAATACAGCAGAATGGAGCATGGAAGAGTGGAGCGTCCGATACCAGACTGGAACAGCTTGAGACGTTGCAGATTTCTTGAGGCTTCATCTGGCCAACAAGTGAGCACTGCTCGTCCTTTTCTTAATCCGCTTTTTTCATGTCTTTTTCAAGTCAGAGAATCGGCTTTCAGGTGACTGATGTGACTGGATGCTCGTTTTGCTTGGATGCCAAGGAAAGGGAGAGCGGCTGGAGGCGGGAATTCAAAAGACTTCAGCTCTGCAGGTTGCTTTTCTCATCTTTTCTATGCCTTTCTGCCGTGGAAACATGTGGAAACATGTGGAAACCATGAAGATCGAAAAAAAATACGTGGTTTTTTAAGTACATCGTGCTGCGAAGACCTGCACGGAGGTTCTCGAAGGACCACGGCTAGAGACAACCACTGAGGCCCTTTCAATGCGAGCCGACTCACAGTCGGACTTCTTCGATTTTGTAATGTAATTAATATGATATAAATTGATACAATATGTAACATGTCTTATATCATGTCTTATATCATGTCTTATATCATGTCTTATCTACAGATCCTACAGTCTGATGCCTTTCTCCTGATCTAACTGGGCTTTAGCGATGTTCCGTTCGTCGAATTACCGGGAACGTTGCAAGCATCAAGCAATGAGGTCACTCGAGCAAGAGGTAGAGCCACGAAGGACGTTGGCTGCGAACATCTGCGGGCATTTGCCAATCACATCCAATCACCAATCACTTTAGACATTTCGAACCATTTCGATCTGGCACTAACGATTTTAAAGTTATCTTCACAATTCTTCACAATTCTTCACATCTTTTTGTGTCAAAAACTGGGGGCATCTGGGGGCAAATGGACACGATGAAACAGTGCAACGCAGGACGGCCAAGTGGGATGGGTGTTGCGGGACTCCCAGCAATGCCCAGCAACTGTTGAGTTCGTGCCCGGCAGCCTTGCCCAAGGGCCCAAGGGGCCGAACATGGCCAAACAGCTCGAACATTTGAACAGAAGCACAGAGGATCACAGAGGTCACCTCTCAAAGGTCTGACATTCGTCGTAGACGGAGTGAGGTTCAAAGACCACAGCGGCCGATGTTTCTTCGAATTGCAGGACTTGCTCATTTGTAGAGGGCCTTCGCCCAAGAAGGATCTCAACAGTCTTGAGCCACAAGTCATCAAGTCGGTAAAAACGCACAGAGACCTTCAGAAAAGTAAACAAGAATAGCATGTGCTTTATAAGATATTCCAAACACAAAAAAGGAGTAATTGCCATGAGATACCATGAGTGGATGTGGACAGCTGATTCCTGAGATCAATGTGATTGTTGTGAACGCTGTGGTTCTGAGGGGCGTTGCTTTGACGGACAACTTTGACATAGGCCCTGGTGCAGATCAGATGTGTGGTACGTGTCATGTCGACCTGGCCTGCCATATCACATTGGCCACTGTGAGGTGCATGCAAAGCAATCCGAAAATTGGAGGTTGGCGAAACACTGCAGTCCCTGGAGGAGTTGGGACTGTCTTGAGGGGATAGCTTTTTTGCATGCTATATATAGCTGTTTGATGCTGTTTGCAATTGCGGTGTTTTTTATATAATTTCCCATCGTTTCCCACAATCCTCACAATCTGCATACGGAGTCATGGGGCATCAATGGGCATCATGTCACAGCGGTATCCATTGCGGTATCCATAGGTCTCCACAGAGGTGTCACCTGTCCCATCCCAGGAGCCCAGGCAAGACGAGAGCAGAAGCTTGACCAGAATCAAGGCACGGTGACCGGTGATATCCGGTGATGGTGGCACCACGTGGCACCGTGGCAGGGCATGGCTGGTAACGGTAACGTCCACAGCGATGTACAGCGACAGCATGCGACAGCCAGGTCAGAGCTCTGAATGATGGTCAGACACCTACATGCGATGCCTTGCGGATAGTGCATTTTTGCATGTATTTGCATGTGCATGTGCAATGTGCATACGCATACACAGTATATAATACAGTGGTATATAATATTATATAACATTATATAATATGTATATTTATTATTTTGAATTTTGTATATAGCCGTCTGGTATGCCTGGCTGAAATCCCTAGGCTGGAGCCTCGAGTTAAAGTCTTCAAACCTTTTTAGGGATTTCAGCCAGGGAAAATTTGATGTTTGACCCATGGATTTTATCCAGAGCACGGCTTCAAACAATGAGAAGATGTTGGATGCTAGACCAAGGGATTTTATTTCTATGATATATCTATGCTTGTTTGTCAGACCTTGGGTTTTATCTTTGGCATCCTTGGCCTAGTTAATAAAATGCCAAATCTCAGCTCATGGGATTTCATCTTGGTGACCTTGGGAATTCCAAAACCTCAAACCTTGGATTTTATTTCCGGCAATGGTTTGGACAGCAGCCGCCCAAGCAGCCTAATAGCCTACACAGACCCTGCACAGCACCCTGCAAAGCACCTTTGCCAGACCTCGCCACCGCAGTCTGGAGAGCAGCCTAGCAGCCTGCACAGCACCCTGCACTGCACCCTGCATAGCACCCTTGCCAAACTTCGCCACAATTCGCCACCGAAGACCTGACCTTTGAGAAGTAAGAACCCCTATAGTTTCCAGCTATCTGGGGAAAAACAAAATTCTAAGAGCAATGGAGCTTCCTTCCTGGAATGAGGCGGCGTGGACATTTGCCTCTGAATCCGGGAAAACACATTGTAAACCGCCTTGCCATAGTCCTTCCCTCGAATTTGCAAGAACAAATTGCTAAAGTACCCTGGGGCCATCTCTAGAATGGCACTCCACTTCTGGCCAACTTGCGGATCTTGCTGCTTGTTGGCACCATCACTGGCTGGCAGTCGGACATAGCCATTCTCATCAAGAAGTGGCCGGTCAGGGTGCTGCGCAGCGTCGAGTTCCACAAATCGTTGGAGCTCTTGCCTGATCAAGGCATCGCCTTTTTTGAACCTGTTGAAATTCTCCGGTATGGCCTTAGCCAGTAGGAGCGGGCCAAAGATATCAATTACACGCTAAAAAATCTATTGTTGCAGCAAGTGTTCAGAATGTTCAGAATTGTTGGGTGAAATCAAAGCCTCAAATCAAAGCCTAAACATCTAAAACCAAACATATCTAAACAACACATGAGGGTCACCCAAGCTCAACGTCGATCACCCAAGAATCTCGGGCTAGAATCCAAGTGGCTTGAGGTTTTGGGGACTAGCGAAATAAGATCTATGATATTGAAATTCTCCGGTATGGCCTTGGCCAGTAGGAGCGGGCCAAAGATATGAATTAGACGCTAAAAATCTATTGTTGTGGCAAGTGTTCAGAATGTTCAGAACTGGTGGATGAAATCAAAGCCTCAAATCAAAGCCTAAACATCTAAAACCAAACATATCTAAACAACACATGAGGGTCACCCAAGCTCAACGTCGATCACCCAAGAATCTCGGGCTAGAATCCAAGTGGCTTGAGGTTTTGCGGACTAGCGAAATAAGATCTATGATATTGAAATTCTCCGGTATGGCCTTAGCCAGTAGGAGCGGGCCAAAGATATGAATTACACGCTAAAAATCTATTGTTGTGGCAAGTGTTCAGAATGTTCAGAATTGGTGGGTGAAATCAAAGCCTCAAATCAAAGCCTAAACATCTAAAACCAAACATATCTAAACAACACATGAGGGTCACCCAAGCTCAACGTCGATCACCCAAGAATCTCGGGCTAGAATCCAAGTGGCTTGAGGTTTTGGGGACTAGCGAAATAAGATCTATGATATTGAAATTCTCCGGTATGGCCTTAGCCAGTAGGAGCGGGCCAAAGATATGAATTACACGCTAAAAATCTATTGTTGTGGCAAGTGTTCAGAATGTTCAGAATTGGTGGGTGAAATCAAAGCCTCAAATCAAAGCCTAAACATCTAAAACCAAACATATCTAAACAACACATGAGGGTCACCCAAGCTCAACGTCGATCACCCAAGAATCTCGGGCTAGAATCCAAGTGGCTTGAGGTTTTGCGGACTAGCGAAATAAGATCTATGATATCTATGATATCTATGATATCTATGATATCTATGGCTTCAACCCTGCCAGGCCTTAAATCTTTCCAAATCCCAAGGACTGGGACCAAGTACTGTGACCTGAGGGATCTGAAGGGGCCAAGTTACGAGGATGGTTTTCGAGTCTTTCTCCACTGACTTCTTCACCTTGTCGTGCGTATGCTTGACCAAATTTTTCTGCATGGTCGACTTCAAGGTTTTCTGGGAGATCTTCTGGTGGCTGCTGGGTGCAGGATCTGCGGCCTCATCATCCGTGTCATCGATTCGATGGTCACAGTGCCATTGTCATCATTGTCATCTTTGCCTGCGTTGGTCATGTTGGTCTTTTGCTTCTTTGCTGTCTTCTTTCGCATCTTTTCCTTTCCTGATGTTCCTGGAATCTCTCGTGTCAACTTCGCAGATCCTTTGGTCCCATGCAAGGCTTTGGGCCAGCTGGTCCATTCATGGGCATGTTTCACTACTTCAAGTGCTTTCGCTGTCAGCGTGACTTGCACTCCATCAGCTCCAAGTTTGGTGTCCGCAATCTGAAGCACCAAGCCAATTCTGTCTGCTGCGACAACCATGGTTTCACCCATGGCAGTTGCCCTGAATGTGCCTTCTGGTTGGTTTTGAACTGGACTCATCTGAAAAACCAAAAGTGGGACAAAAAAGCCCGAACAACGGAAGCAATTTGGGAAAGACGGAAAAGGGGGCACGCGTCGCTCGGCACGAGCTGGCATCATCCAGCAATCGGGAACATCAGGCGTTGTCATCAGGCATTGGCTTGGATCTTGGGCCCTTGGTTTTTATCTTGAAGACACTTTTGGCATGTGCTTCTCGGGCCCAGGGATTCTCTCTAACATATTCTTTCTGATCACTCGTTGGGTTATCTCAAGCCTTTGGATTTTATCTCCAAAACCCTTTGCGTTTTTTTCTTTATATTTTGCATTGTTTTTACCGTGGGGTCAAGCCAGGGATTCTATCCAGGGCCCTTTGGTCTCAGACCAGCTGGATTCTATCCCAAATCTTGGCTTAAATCCTTGGCTCCAGACTAAGGTGCGTAAGCAACCCCTATTTTGTATTATATACAATATAAATATAAATATATATATATATATATGTATATATATATATATGTGTGTGTGTGTCTTGAATCGATGGCCAAGACGGACTGGCACAAGATGCCAGACGCTTCTCTAAGGAAAAGAGGGCTGGGCAACTTCACAGGGGAACCAAGGCGGCATGTGTTGAAGAGTGGATCCGCATTGATGTCGATATTGTCGATCAACATCTTCACAGTCTCAACATTGAACATGTTCCTGGTGAAGCCTGCCGATGCCGATGCCAGGAACTCTGTATGTGGTCGAAACCAACAAGCATTTTACATGCGCGGAAAGCGTGCCTCAGCTTGATGGAGAATCAGATGGGAGCGAAGCTTCGGCTACCAGATCTTGCGATACAAGAGACATATCAAAGTTTAGTATAGTGAAAAGATGTGACAAAAATGATAGTGAAAAGTGTTGTATGGATTTGTATGGTAGTTTGACGCATGTTTGATTTTATAGAATTTGCATACTGATCATATCTGATCATACTGGTTTGCAGAAGAACTTCGCTGGTGCAAAGCTTGCGGCGAAATCACCATGACGATTTGCACCACCACTTTGTGCATAATGCAGTGTATTAAGGCCCCACTCAGTCGCAGCAAATTGTTCGAACATGCTCGAATCAAAAAGGGTAGCGGACCTTTGCCGGGTCCACTTCCTCTCTTCGAAACGTTTCAAGGATGTTTCAATGATGTTTCAATGAATATTGTGCCAATTTGGAAGCTCTGCCCGGAAGCGCCTCGGTCGTCAATTCGAAAATTTATCTTCATGGAACCCTTCATGGAACCCGAGCTCACAGGTAGACCTGGAAGCATCACCGGGAAAGGCCAGGCTAAAATGATCGAGCAATGTCGTGCGGTGTCAACTCAAGTCGACCGACCGTGCAAGTCGTAAAATCCAGTCATTTGGCAGTGAGACAGGCCTTGCGAAGACTGGAAGTTGGAGAGGGCCATGTGCCAAGCATCAGATACGAGCTGCTAATATTCAAAATCTAGACTCTTTGGAAAATATAAATCGTGAATCCTTTTGATTTGGCCTGCCACGTTGCTACTTGATGCTATTTGATGCTATTTGATGCTGCTTGATGCTACTTGACCTTAGGATAGACTTGGTTAGGCCCTCGCGAGCTCAGGATTCGAACTTCTGCAAGACCCTACCGTAGAATTGCGGCAAGGCGCCACGGACATGACTGACATAGCATAACCCGATTGGATTTGATGGGCGGTTGGCCAAAGTCCAGCAATCTGGGTTCCATCGGGTGCCGGGTGCCATGATGTTACACGATGTATCCATGATATCCATGATATCCATGATGTGCCATGATCCATTGATCCGATTTGATCCATTGTGCAGGCAAGAGCTTTGCCAGGGGCCGCTGCTCCAGCGGGCAGCCAGGCCCAAGGGCCAACGAAACGTCCGACATGGACACTGATGACACTGAATTTATTCAATGTATGGTCACTATGGTTCTGCTGATTTTTTTGTTGGTCCCTTCAAGTCTCTTCAGACCTTTGGACAAGTTTTTATGTGACGCCGTTTTGTTGTCGTATGTTGTCGTATATTGCGTCTTTCATGCAAGTTTTTCTTATAGTATCTTCCGGATCCCTCTGGGTCTTCTTGTGTTGGCTTTGTGTTGATTTGTGTGTCTTGTTTTATTGTTTAGGGAACACCCGCCTTGTCAGCCCAAACCCCAAAAATCATTGAATTTGAGTAGATTCCCAAGTATGCGTATACATATGGGCAAGGTCAAAAAGAGAGTAGGTATGAGAGCACTATGACATCAGTAAGTATACAATGTAGCCCGCCATCACTTCACAAAATGTGTGATTGATTGTGACAGAGATCGGGTGCCTTAGCGATAACTCTGCGAAAAAAAGAGCAAAAAACAGCTCCCACTGTGTGGAGCGATAGGAACCTTGAGGAGGGATAGGCGATACCTCCTCAAGTTGATGACCCTAGAATCAGTACCATGTCTTAAGCATGGCACATATTTACCCAATTGCATGTGTGCGAGTACAAATGGTATACGGTATACGTACATGCACAACTGGAAACTGTTATAATCAATCAAATTTACTGTAGAAAGGACACCAGTTTACCAGTGCATTTGTGATCCGAGGTATGAGGTGAACTAGCTATTCGGCTATTCCTGTACTGTAGCTATATATCGTGCAAGTGATGGGAAATGATTGGAATTGTGCCTTTGTGTGACCATTTTTAGTGGTGTCTCAACAGTCTCAACTTCAAATCTAGCTCGAGGCGTGGACATATGAATCATATGACAGTATACAACAGGATACAACAGGTTTGTCAAAGTGTAGCTGCTGGATGATGCTGGATGATGCTGAATGCGACTCTCGGCACCTTTCCCAAGGTGAAGGTTGGTTTGCAATCACCGGGAATGTGCAGCCTTGGACACATCGCGAGGACACATGTGGTGATGTGATGCCGCTATTGTTTTGCAAGTCATAAGATTAGAGGTTATCTATGGTTATCTAAATATATTCTTAATATATCTTAAGACTACTTATGTTTTACTTGCTCTTGACTTGAGATTTGCATCACCTGCTCATGGACGAATTAGTCGCCACTTCACGCAGCATGTGTTGAGAACTCTTGGTTTTTGGGGTTCAAACCAGGAGCTGTCTGCGAAAACTCTCAGCACTGATGTCCAGAGCTAGTTGATGCATCGATCTGGCAATGCGTGCGTTGAAAAGTGAGTCGCCAGATGTCGCCAGCCAACGTATGATGCATCAAACGGATGTATAACAAGTGGGTCCTGCACAGTTGTGTGCTGCAATGGAGAGTGTTTTAGTGTCTTAGAATGTCTCAGTGCTGTGTAAGTCAGATTTGTTCGTGTCTTCCGAGTTCAGAATGGCTGTTCACGGGAGTTCAACGGTTTTTGGGATCGAGGACTGATGCTATCGACTTGTAGCTTTACCTCCGTACAACATCAGCTGTTCTGTATCTTTGTGTTCCTTTCTTCGGAGTGTTTGCTTTCCGGCTCACAACACATGTCCAGACTTCGTGGAACATGGGAACCGCTGCGTTTTTGGCTCCAAAGCTTGGATGAAAATTCAGAGCGCACGCAAGCGTACCCCCTGCACGAACGCACCTCCAGAGTGATGCTGAGGTTATGTTTGAAACTCAGAAACAGCCCATGGTTGTTGTGAATTGGACGTTAGAAGCAGTTTTTTTTTCACGATAGATTGGATCATGCTACCCAAAGAACGGCAAGGCCACGTGTACCATATAGAATTATTCGGCACGCAGCCGCCACCTACTGTAGCATACTGTAGCTACCGTTTGCAGAGGCAGGCCAAACGGCTGACTTTATGTTTCCTGGCCATCTAAAACTTTCCGATGGAGACCTGAATAGACTTGACAAGTGACTTGACAGTGACTTGAGCAAAGTTGAGAATGTGAGTTGCCGTTGCATGCCGCCATCGCAGACACCTACCATGCCCGAAGTGTGGCTTCGTGCAGCACCTGTTTCAGGCAGTGGTCAACCAAGGCACGGCAGCCATCTCGGTCAAGTATGTCAAGTCATGTTAGCTAAGCAGCTAATCTTTTCATGTTTTTGTTCTTCGTACCTGCCTTCCTCGGTTGCCCCCAGGAAATAAACTCGCAAGTCACTTGAAGTGTGCTCGTAAGAGCTGCCAAATTATGGCTTGGTCGAATCAGGTCTTGCTGATTTCGTCATGGAATTAGGAAATTGGCGACCGGCGGAACACGCAGTAGATTCTGGCTCAGTGTCAACCAATGCAAGATATGCAAGTTTTTCTTGGCAGGGAAGTTGCGAGTCATTGATAATCCTAATTTGCAAGAGGGACTGGAGAACACTTTCAGTTTACTTTTTTGGTAACACAAATTCCATGGATTCTACAATTGACGTATCACTCATGATAGTCATGTCAATGAGAGACTTAAGACTTAAGATATCTTAAGACTCTTCAGAGATCTCAAGACTGCGACTGCAGATTGGATCAGGTTGGTATTGTCGGTATGGTGTCGCAATGAGTTGGTTATGGCCTCTCTGGCCAGTGCAGTGCTGCCCTCCGGGAACTGGAATAGTTTGGCGCGCTCACAGCTGGAGATCCTCCAAACGCTCGTGAAAAAACATCTGGACGATCCTTCTCTAACTGAGATCGCAAGTGGAAATGACTTTACAGTGACGACTACAGAGCGAGGCATCCCACGCTATGAGCATTCGCACTTGGTGGCAGCTCTAGATGTGTTGCTGGAGTATCAGAGAAATCGGAAAACCACTTATTTCAAGGTCATGGGCACAAGAGCACAGACAAGCATCGCCCCATATCGTCATGATCCACGAACACGCCTCATTGAACTGCTGAAACGGTGGTTGCGAACGAATGCAGCCAATGCCAACATCAGTGAAGAAGAGGTTCGGCGCATGTGTGCTTTGTGCAGAGATCTCTTGAACTACCCAAACTTATTTCCATCCAGAAACAAGACGAGTTTCATGCATGCCCTTAGTGAAGCATATGAGCATCTTGAGCTTCAGTTGCGTCAAGTCCTGGAGCGAGACCGTACATGTGCAGAACTGGCTACCAGATGCCTTTCTTTGAGCCGCAATTTGGTGTCGGATGCGATTACTTTCTTGCTGCTTGCGGCTACACACCTCACGCAAACAGACAACCTTCCATCTTTGGAAGTGGTGGTGCTTTGGCAGTCGCTGCCAGCAATCGGAAATCCATTACCAAGTCGAGCTGATCCGCAGTTGCAGAAGAGTATGCAGGACAAGAATCGTCCGGACTTTATCAATCTTTTTGATTCTTTATGTATCTTTTTATTCTTTATTCTTTATCATGTATCTACATTGTTCTGATCTTCCTACTCAGTAAACATTTCTCCGATTTTCTCCGTGGCCAGATATATCATAGTCAAGAATCCAGATGGCATGGTGATGCAGTGATATGAAATGATATGAATCCCATTGAATCCCCCTGAGGACGCTTGGTCTACTTTGATCGGGTCCTTGATAACTTCTCTCCTGGGTCTTCGGTGGACGTTTCACCTTTTCGCCGGCGTAGGCACTGATCAGGAGCTCAAGGCGTTGGCTCACGACGGTGGACATGGAACCTCTGGAACCCCTGGAACCCCTGGAGCCAAAGACACACTAGCGCAGATCCACTGTGTGCGTGAGGAGTTCGCGGCTGGCCATTTCAAACTGAGTGGTTTGGCGGGGCCTTTCCGAGAGCCACAGCAGCAGGAGACGCGGGAAAATCTCTTGGTGGCAGTTGAGTCCCTGTACGACCTTCTGTACCTACTTGGGGAGGTGCTGTTGCATTTCCACAGGATAAGTGATAGCTTGGGAGATTATGGAATGATCCGTGTGTCCTTGTGGCTGCATCCCTGCTTGGATTCGGTGATTGAGAAAGTCCAGCGGCTGCAAGCGAGCCTGAAAGGTCTCAGCAAGGCCGTGGATGCAGAACTTGTCATCGCCAAAGCTCGAGGGAGGACGGTGAAGAAGCCGCTGCCCAGTGACCGAATGTCCTCCCGTGCGCATGCTGCTGTAGAGCGGGCACTTGTGGGTCAGGATTGTCACCTATCTGCATTGCTTCACACCTTGGAAGAACTCAAGACGCGTTCATCTCCTGAACGGCTTCCACATGTGGTTGAAGGGCTGGGTGATGCCTGTGTCCAGCTTCAGACTGTTCTCACATCACCCCAGTTCCGTGCTCGTGTGGGCGATTCTTTCCCTCAGCGCTTGCCATCTTTGGCGAATATGACCAGGGGGAGTGACCAAAGACCCAATCTTCAGTTGATGAACGTAGATGAAGCACATGATGGCCACTCTGCGGCATATAGCGATCCAGAGGAGCCCCAAGAACCGCAGCCATATCAAGATCCTCCAGATCAAAGCCTGGCATACAGAGATACGGCGCAAAAAGGCCAACAAAAGACTGAGCAAAATGGAGCTCCTGCGGACACTGCGGACCTGCCTGATGCGGATCATTCTGTTTGTTTTTTCCTTTTTGGACAGGGTGAGGCACGGCGAAGGAGCAGGAGCTTGTCCAATGCAGTATGGAGCACCTTCCGTTCAATGCGAGGCATGCGCGGTCCGACCTGGCACGCATCCCTGCCTTCCACTCGTGGCCCAAGCACACCATACACAGTGGCAGCTCCATCTTCAGTTCCACATGGGCCACATGCGCCGCATGCGCCAAACGACTTGGTGTCGGAGCTATCTCCTGATGGCTGGATTTGTCGCACAGGTTCAGGGGGGCGGACCTCCTGGCACCACACATCTCTGGGGCCTGCGCCATGGGATGGCCAAGGCCGGGAGCCAGACGAGCTCTTCCATGCCAAGCCTATCTCAATTGGTGGGTCTCAGCAGAGGCTCGGAACACGAGACGCCCGAGACACCCGAGACACCCGAGACACCAATCCATTCTCCGATGACTTGGAGGCAGAGGCCATGGGCGCCACAGGTGCCACAGAGCGCACCACGGAGCCTGGCATTCGGCATGCGCACGCAGATGTGACTGGCTTCCAACCGACCCCATCTGTCTCTGCCCGGGAACAGTTGGAGATACGCTTGGAACGCTCTCCAGTGACTCCGGTGACTCCAGTGACCCAGGAAACGTCTCAAGTGATGGACTTCGGGCCGTTCACTGATTCGCCCTTTGGAAATGGCCATGCGCAGGATGCGTCCACTCGAGAAAGCCGCCGAGCCTCTACAATGCCTGGATTCATGCAAAAGCCATTGGAAAGAGGGTGTTTACGAGCAGAAGTGCAGCGTCTTACCACTGGTGTGCAAGGTTGGAAAGCCCATGACAGTCGTAGCCTTTTAATCACTGGCAGCCAGCTGCTGATTTACCAGAAAGGCTCCACGGACCAAGTCAAAACAGTTGTAGACATTTGCGATGATGTGGAACAATGCTCACTTCTCCCTGATGGTGTGCTCTCCTTGGAAGTGCGACGCAAGAGGCGTCGCTCCTCCAGTCTCTCACGCTTTACGCCACGTTCACGAAAAGATTTGGACGAGAGGAAGCTCTACTTCTTTAAGTTCGAGCCACAAGAGCTCGCTCAACAGTTCAATGAGATTCTCTCTCAATCCAGAGGGACTTATTGAAGACTTGATGCATCTTGATCTTGTTCGTTTTTGCCGTAATTCTGCGTATTCAAGAAATTGAAGAATATGCTCTGACATTACAGTGATTCATTTTGCGTCGCATTCGCGATCTTGTGTCATGACTTTGCATGTACGGGCCGTTTACGGACCCCACTTCTCGTGCCCAAAAGGATGGCTTGCGGTGTTCGCAGAAGTTGAATTGCTGGCAGTCCTAGTCGTCATGACAGAGGGAGCAAGAGAGCAAGAGAGCAAGATGGAGATCCGAAACTCCTCAACATCCATCAGCCATGTCCTTCATGTCCTTCATGTCCTTCCGATCGCGGTTTCTCGAAGGTGAGGCCTTCCCAGGCAGAGAGGTGCGAGGCTCAGGTGAGTCGGGCGAGGTGTCGGTGCCATGAGTGGATGTGGGGAGCACTCGAAAGGATTTAACACATGATTTAACACATGATACTCAAATTGGAAACATTTGGAAACCATGAAACATCATGAAACTTTAGGATCACATAAAATCAAGTAATTATCCGTTGCCATCCTGGAACAGTTTTTCTATATATTTTTCATTATTTTTCTATCTTTTGTTGGGTTTCCTATGGTCAAGTACTGAAATTTATTCATTTTGCACGGGGCTGTTTTTTCATGTTTTTTTTTTACTTGCTGCCCTCTTGCATTGTGCTATAGTACAATAGCTGCTATAGAGGTGGCATATTTTGGCAGCTGGGGCTTTGAACCCAAGGCAACAACAGTTCCTTGCCAACGTGTGCAGGTGCATTGCAAGCGGCACCCGAATTGGGGTTTGGGGATAGCATTGGGGGAAGTACGTTCGGTAGACCTTGGGATTTTTTGGGAATCCAGAGTCACACGGCGGGGCTTGGACAATGCCACTGGCTGCCAGTGTGACGTATGATATGTATGATGTGGCAAACACCGATTCCTTGTGCAGTTGTACATATCGTACGGCAGTAACATCTCGTATCCTCAGGTTGCTTTCAAAATTCAATCATCCGCTTCGGCCTTTGGCTCTGACAGAGCCGCAAACAAGCCACACAAGACCACAGATTCAAGCACGGCCACACATCATCAACGGAAAGGCATGAAGAATCACATGGCATCACTGGCATCACCACATCTCATGGACACCAGACGGCAGTGATTCTCGTCAGCTGGGTTCCACTTGCATCCACTTGCCATGACTGAAGAGAGCCGAGAGGCTCAACCGCAGCCACCGCAGCCACCGCAGCCGCAGCTTGCGCAGTTTGGGACCTTTGAACCTGGAGAGACGCCGACGCCGACGACGCCGACGCCTGCTGGGTCCCCTGGAGCTTTTGGCGCTGGCGCTCTCGCTCTTTCGCTGCCAGAAGGAGATCCACCGCTGCCCGCCCCTGCCTACAGATCCTACAGTCGTAGGAGTTCAGGAGATGCAGCATCTGGATTGTCCCCCGCACGTGGAAGCTTTAGCGACGTCCTGGAGCAGATTCAGGTGCCGTGCTGAAGTTCTTGCAGCTCATTAAAAGTTTATTGTAATTACTATAGTGATGTCCTGACATGCAGCATACTGTGGCAAATCGGCAAGTCAACCTGTCTGGCAGACTGTCGGGCGGACACAGCCCCCCGCACATTCAGCAGTCATGAGTCAAGGTATCACTTATCACTGATCACGGTATTACAGACATTTGAAATCATTTGAATAAGCTCCCGATTCTCACTTAATTAATTCACTTGATTCACTTGATTCACTTGATCAATGAAAAAGCTTGCAAAAGCTCGTTCTTCGATCCCATCGGTCCACCAGCTTTTGTTATGTTAGATTCATGTGATTCATGTCGATTTCAGGTGTTGCAAGAAAGATTGCGGGAAATCCACGAACAGGAGGTTCACGGTGTTCACGGCGTTCACGGTGACAGATCCAGGCTGGAAAGCTGCATGGCAGACGAAGCGACCAACTTTCTGGATAAATCATTGGTCTACCATGGTCTACTAATATGAACATCATGATATATCATGATATTACAATGATACATCATGATAATATACTAATTGAAGTTATTGAAGTTAAGTTTGTTATATGCGTTGATTTGCAGATGTTTATTGCAGCTGGTAGATTTCAAGGCCCAATCCATCAGCCAAGACCTCAAAGCACAAGACTTCTTCCAGGCTCAGCATCAAGGACGACAGCTGGTTGAATTTGGGATGCAAATTGCCATGAGTTGCCCAATTGAAAGCACAAAAACATACACAAAACATATGTTTCATCGAAATGGAATCTAACTTGGAAGTTGAATTATACCTAGACTTTTCTTCCATAGTTTTCCTTTTTTTTGGGGGGGGAAGTCGTAAAAAAATGAAGCGCTGGGGATTTAGACCCAAATTCCAACAGAAAATAAACAGTCACTTTATTAGGGGGGTAAAAATGATTAAAAATGATACATTTTTTAAAGTGTGTCCGGATGTGTCCGGGGGTTTTGGCGCACTTTATATTGTGATATATTGTGATCTTGTGATCGGGATGGGTAATCTGATGTGAGCATCAAGTGTGCAACTAGTCTAAAGATTTCTAAAGTAGTGAGACAAAGGAACTGAACATAGTAGTATGAGCAGAGCCGCAACAGTCCTGGCACAAGCCAGTTACAAAAAGCGTCTAAAGGATTCTAAAAAAACTAAAATACGTTTTATTCCAATATGTCCCAATAACTTCCAATAGCTTCGATATGTTTCGAATTGTTTCGATATGCTCGATTCGATGAGATTCGATGAGTTCCAGTCTCTTGAGAGTCATGACATGTCATGACTCCATGACGCAGGAGTCGCCACACAGGGTCGACTCCAAGAGCTCGCAGTTGTCGAGCGATGCGGAGAGACCCCCGACTTCGCAGAAGGCCGTCAGATCCGTCAGATGGGTCAAACGCTCCACGTATGCTCCACGGTCAAATGCTTCAATCCGACCCTGTCCGAAAGAGTCCCGGAGTGTCAGATGATGTCAGATGTTAGCAGATGTTGTAGAGGTAACGGTATCATGCGCCGCCTTTCATTAATTGATATTGACCATTGACAAATGTATACATCCACCATGTATTTACATTACTTACGGAATGTGAGTCTGTATGAATCTGTTCTATCTGCTATCACTCCATCACCGTATTTTTGTCCATGTGTTTTTTTTTTCAAGGGGAGGCGATGGAGATTTCGGAAAGCCGAAAGCATCGAAAGCATCGAACGCCGAACCCTGGAGGCAGAAATGATGATGGCACAGAAGGCCTTCAGGACCACCACCGATTTCGAAGAGACGATGCGAAGCGCGGAAGTGCAGTTCTTCATCGGGGTGGAATGGGACATCGATGACACAGGCCTGCTTGACCTCCAGAAGAACCACTTAGCAGTGACATCACCAAGAACAAAAACCCATCATACGGGAACCATCAGCTCAGGCGTGGGGGGTATAGCCAGGAGGTCCTCCTGGTTGCGCACGACTACAGAGAGACCACCTGAAGGATGCGCAGTAAACCCGGAATCGAAGAGGAGGATCTTTTGGGATTGCTTAGCGATGGTGGCGCTGATGATTGAGGTTCTCACTGCACCTGTGCAGGTGTACAACATCGATGGGAGATTCAGACGAGCAGCAGATGTGCTGCATTGGGTGACCACAGCCTATTGGGTCCTTGACGTTCCTGCCTCCTTCCTCACAGTACATCAACGACATCCTACACTCACAGTTGCATGTCGTAGCCAAGGTCTATTTGAAGTCCTGGTTTTGTTTTGACATCGTGATGTTGGCCCCAGAAGTGCTTTTTCTGGTGAACATTTTTGTACAACCCGATGAATCTGAGAGTGACCCAGCAGCCTCTGGCTTGCTTCGTGCTTTGCGTGCCAGACGCTTGGTGCGTGTCATCCGCTTTGCTCGGATCATGCGCTTTCGAAAGGCCATGACGCTGGCGAAGAAGCTCAGTTGCTACAAGCATTTCCGGATGTTCTTCCAAGGCTGGATTTCAGCATCACTTCTGCCCTTGGTTTTGCTGCTGTTGCTCCTGTCCATCTCGATTCATTTCCTGGCCAGCTTGTGGTTTGTGGCGGGCGATGTTGAAGGTGGCTGGGTGATGGCCGAAGGCTTGCACGACGCACCATTTGTCCAGCAATATGTGAGAAGTGTCGAGTGGGCCTTGTCCAGGTTACCAGCATCGTCACTGAGATCCAACGTCGAACTCAACACTGCCTTTGAGCGCTGGCTCGCCATCATGGCCACCTTCGTGTCTGTTTGCATCTCCTCCCTCTTCATCTCAGTCACAGCCTGAGATAGCCTGAGTCTGTGATATTCTGTGACGACAATGCGCAACCAGAGCTATCAAGGATTATCAAGGGCTCCAAAAGTTGAACTTGTCAACAATTGCAATCACAGATATATATATATATATAATTATATATATATATATATATAAGTCCAATTATTGGAACATATGATGATACAATATACAGGTGTATGTTTCGCATGTCATTCTGTGTTTGATGGTGTTTGGCATTGTCCCATGACAGCACGT